CTTCAAGACGACTGCCTCAGTGTCTTCATTCATGAGAGACCACCATAACTGGTGACCCCGACGTGATCATCTGCGAGGTGGTACGTCTTTGGACCATCCATACTCATCGGCTGGCATAGCCTTGGTATACCTCATCCCTGATTCGATCGCAGGCGATCGCCGTGGACCCCTTCGTGAGTATGGGTGGAGGATTCTCTCGGGACCAGAAATTGCACATTGAGGAACTAAGAGAATCAACCAAACGAAATTTTTTCCTTTTTAAAAGAGGGGGCTCTCTTGAAAAACCCCTCAGTAAAGCCTCTTTAGACACTTCCGAAATGATGGCTGCAGCTATCACCAGAGGTAATAAACCATCTGGTAACTGTCACAATTGTGGGAAGCCTGGTCATTTTAAATCACAATGTCTAGCCCCGGCGGGGGGGCAGCAAAGCCCTCCGCCAGCAGAGATGCTCGACAGTAGAGGGGCCGGCAGCTAGCCCCTCTCCCAAGGCTGCCCATATACCATCCACTGTGTATGAATTATCAATGGCAGAAGATGTGTTCATATCCTTTCCCCATCTCTGTCAGCACACAGCTTCCTCCTTCTGCCTCCTTCTTCTCCGATAAAACTGCTCTTACAATCTCACCCTCATGCCCTTCTCATAGGAATCTCTGTGGTTCCCGTTCTGCTCTATCCTTCCTCAAAACTCTCAGCCTCTCTCTCTCTTTTTTTTAACAAACTTTGTTAATTTTTAAAGACATGCAGAACATGGATACACAGAAACACAAAACATAAAAGCATAAAAAATCTCTTTTCTGAAAGTTGCTTAGTCCCAGGTCAAAACTCTTGGTACAGACACAGATTCAGATTCATGTTCATTTTGCATACCATTGGCATTTTGCATACCATTGGCATTTTGCATACCATTGGCATTTTGCATACCATTGGCATCTTATTGGCATTTTCAATTTTCTACATAGCTTCTCCTCTCTTTTGAATTTTCTCGGTTTTATTTTTTTAATCTCCTCTCAATTCGAATCATAGTTTGTTATTCTTTGTTCTATTTCCAGTTTCTTCTTTGAAGAAAAACTTCTCCTGTGCACTGAATGGAGTGTGATGCCTTTAACTCTTTCCCCTATATTTGTAATACTTAATATAGAACACATAATTTGCACTGGGATTCTATCTGGTGCATTCTGAAATTGTGCAGTATTGTTATTCATTAGTGTTGATGTTCATTTGTGTCTTGAACATTTGGTGCATTGCTTTTCAGTTAAACCACATCACATATTATAGATCATTATTTCATTGCAGTGTTCCCCCTTCTCCCACTTCAGGTCTCTCATTTCACAAAAGGTTTCGCTGGGATAACATAGTCTAATCATTGATGTTGACAATCATTTATGTCTTGAACATTTTACCCCTTTCGGTTAGATATCATGCCTTTGTGGAAATACTTATGCTTTCCGGGATTGTTTTCCCCCCCCACATCCCATGTCTTAAATCATTGTTTCATTACAGTACTCCTTTTCTTGGCAAAGGTTTCACTAGATTATACTGAGTGTTTTGTCACATTTTGAATTGCATGTTGTTTCCAGTTTTCTATGGTTATTTCTGGATGCAGGTGTAGAAGTGCGGTCTTGTGTGCCTTTCTGAAATCCCTTTTTCAGTGGAATTTGTCTATTGTCTCTGGAGAACTTTTGCTTAAGGCCTCTCAGCTCTTCCTTTCTCCCTTGCTTCTCCTTGTAAAATATTGGAAAAGAGTGCCTAGGACACCTTTCCCTTCTTGCTTTTCTTTTTTTAAATTTTGATATACAAGTTTCAGTCCATCCACACGTGATGCCATTGTGTAGACATCCCTCGTACAATTACAACAATATTTAGGGGCTATTAATTGGACCCGTCCCTATTTTGGCATCACTACACACATGCTCAACCCCCTGTTTGAGGTGTTAAAGGGAGGAACCACTCCAGGGGATAAAATTACCATTACAGATCATCAATTAAAAATCACCCAGGACATATAGCACATTATGCAGAAAAGGTGGGTCAACCGATGTCACAACAATGCTCCTATTTCCTTAATCTTGCTAAATACACCCCCTCCTTACCTACTGCTGTATTAACCCAAAAGTCTCAGCACACTAGCAACCTCCTTATCTTAGAATGGATACATCTTTCTCAACACTCCTAAAAAAATCTCTTAGTCTGTTAAAACTGGTTGTTAAAAATGCAAATGAGGATTGAAAGAGGATTCTGCAGCCTCTAACTGCCCGAGGGGGGGCTTCCCTCTCGGACTATCTAAAGGCTTGCAGAATCGTGGGAACTGAGGACCATGATTGTTTGTTGCAAGTAGGTGGATGGGTCAAGCAGGGTTGAAGAAGGAAAGAGGAAATCAGGATTTGCAGTCATGATAGGAGCAGGGGAGGTCATAAAAGGGCTCCCTCCCTTCCTTCATGGTCTGCGCAGAAATGTGAGTTGTTAGGATTGGAAACCTGAGGAAAAAGAGAAAGATGAGTTGGAAAACTGAGAAGGGGTGAAGGTGGTTTCTGTGAATGCAAAGTATGTTTGAAAGTAAACAAGAAAGTAGCAAGGAAAAAAGAAATGGGAGGGCGACCCCTGATGGGCTGGCCTTTCCAGACAACACCGATTGATTTCATCGAAATACTAACTCCATACGCATAAAATGCTTTCAACTACTGCCCATCCTTCACTTCAGTCTCTGTCTCTAAAAATCTTCTCTCTCTTTTTGTTACATTGCAACACCTTGTTGCACAGCACCAGCACCCGCTCTTTGTAGCACACATTCGCAGCCACCAACCCTTCCCAGGAATTCTCCAGGAAGGCAATGATATGGCTGATGCGGCAGCTGCAACCGCAGACAGCGCCATCTCTTGCATGATTCTTTCACAACAAACACCCTGGGACAGTCATAGTTATTTTCATCAAAACAAAAAAGTCTTGGCCAGACAGTTTAAATTCAAATTTAAAAATGTCACAGGGTTGCCAGGACTCCAGAATGCATTGAATGTTTGCTTGTTTACTCTTAACTTCCTCAATGAGTCCGGATCCCCCCCATGCACAGCAGCATCACGTCATTTCGCTTCCTCGCCTCATCTTGAACCCAGACCAACGGTATATTTTCATCAGCATCATGCCAGATCCTCAGTGGAAAGGTCCTGCTGAACTTATAACCTGGGGACGAGGGTACGCTGACAACAACAACACCATCCGGGTCCCTGGACGACACGTAAGGCCTTTTCTACCCAAACCAGCCTTGCCTACATCAGCATCATGAAGCTGCCCACTGCATTCATCATTTGCTTCCTGGGCTTCCACATCGTTCCTGCTGATACAACAACCACCCCATCCTCCTGCGATGCCTGCATCAAAACTACTCGCAGCAGAACAAAGACCCAGTCCACCCTGATCTATCATACTTTGAAGCCTGAATGCAACTCCACAACAGTCTCCCCTTGTCTGCATAACAACACTCAATATGCACGATGCTACACCAAACAAGGTATCCAATGCTACGAACCAAAGGCTGTGGGGCCCACTGTATGTCTATGCCTACAAAGGAGGATCCAGCTCTGACCTTGCCTCAATGTTCTCTACCAGTCAAGCAAAAAATGGGTACATTACCCATAATGTCACTCGGGGGGTTACCAACACTTCTGTGTGTTTTGATGCTTGTTTTGCCATCAACAAAGGCCAAGGTCCTAACGACGCTGCAGGAGTCACCTGCGGCTCACACAGCTGGCAAAGATCTTATCTACAGGAAAAGAAATATCTCTTCCAAAAGGTGTCCGGGACTAATGTGGGGGCCACCACTGTTTACAACTACTGATACACCCCACCTATTGACTCTGCTCAAGTAAGAGGCCCTCAAAATATTAATATCACTGTTAAATCAAGCTCTACTTCATGTACCACTGACAAATGTAATCCTATTTGCTTGTACACTCACTTACCTGAAACAAGGGGGTACCATACCCCCACATATATATGCTCAATAGAATTATAAGGTTGCAAGCTGTATTAGAAATTATAACCAATGAAACTGCTCTTGCTTTGAAAACATTAGCTAAAGAAAGTGCATTGTCTAGAACATATATCATGCAAAATCGTTTAGCTTTAGATTATCTTCTTGCCAAAGAAGGAAGTGTGTGTGGAAAATTTAATCTTAGTAATTGTTGTATTGAAATAGATGATAGTGGAAAAGTTATTCAACAAATCACTGATAGAATGATCAAGATTGCGCATGTACCTGTACAAACATGGAATGGTCTTGATTTTAGAGACATGTTTGGATCCTGGTTCCCAAAATTACCTGGTTTGCAAACTATTGTAGCGCTTATTGGTATGATTGCTGCAGGATGTATTATATTGCCTTGTGTATTACCTATCTTTGTACGCACTATTTCTAACAGTTTATCCCTTTTGGCTGAGAAAAAAGCCACTGCACAGGTAATGGCTCTCTGGAATCAACAAATAACTAACACATATCCGAAGAAGAGATGGGAGAGCCAACCTGTGATGACCCAGACGAGGACAAGATGTTTGTGATGGTCGAAGAAGTCACGAACGCCATGGATAACATCAGCATACACAGCACTCTTGCCTACGCGCCTGACAAAGGCTGCTGTTGGAACTAAAACACTCCCTGTTTTTTAAAAAAAGAAAAACAGAGGAGATGTGGGAATTGCTATCTGTTTCCTCGCGCGCGTGCAAGGACAACGGGCCTTCTGGTAGTTGTTTGTAACACGAGGCGAGGGACAAGGTCGAAATGTTGCCACTTCTTACCCAGAATTGTAGCAAACTTAAACTTTACAGCTTTGTATTCTCATATGGTATTTTGTGTGATGTAATGAGTTTGTAACAACACACTAACAAAAAATTGCAAACGTTAACAAAGATTGCTTCTAATAAAAGAGGGTGTCAGAGCTTGCCCTGGGCTCTCATCCCGATTTGGCTTCAAGACGACTGCCTCAGTGTCTTCATTCATGAGAGACCACCATAGAAATAATTTGAAATCCACTTTCTGCCTTGCTTTCATTTATGGCACTGACTTCCTTTTTAAATTCCCTTATTTATTTTAAAACTGGGTTTATCTAACATGCCAAAAAGCAGTGTGGCTTGCTTCATTTCAGCTTATTATACAATGAGGGTTTTTTTAAAAAGAGGTTTTTTGGACTTCTTTTTAAAGTTCCATATTTACCATAAGCAAAATGGGGAGAGATTAATTCAGATGCTGTTGCATGCAACTTGACAACTTCTTTGCAAAGTTGCCATCCCAGATGGTGGATTATAATTCATACTGTATCGGATCCAGCCTGCTTGTCAACATCTGGAGAGTGACAGATTCCTGAGTCCTGCTTCAATCCATTTATGCTAGAAGCTAAGAAATACCAAGGCATGTTTATTACCTTTACATAAAATTTTATCTTCTACCTCTGCTGTATTGCTTGACAATTATTATAGTGATTTGTTAGCTGAGCCTGTTCACAAAACTCACCTTCCCCAAGCTGCATTGCTTAAACCAGTTCCAAATGAGCACTGGTGAATTAGTTAAGTAGATACAGATGGAACCAAGGAATCTCCAACAATGTTTTCCTTCATTTAACAATGATCCTTTATCACAATATTTACTAACTCTTATACTTGTGATTGCATATAGAAGTGAAATATCCAGTTAGAAATGGTTAATAGTAATTAGTGAGAGTGGATACCACTAATATTATTCCATAATCTAAGGTAATAAAAAGAAATTAGCATCACATCTCTATTGGTATGAGTTAACTTTCTATTGGATTGAATGGGGTATACACAACCACAATTGAGACCAAAATTTCTGTGGCTAAGCAAGACATTTGTCCAGTGAGTTTTACCTCATTTTATGACTTTTTCCGCCACAGTTTTTAAGTGAATCATTGTAATTCTTAACTTAGTAGCATGGTGGTTAAGTGGATTGGGCTCCCCCATTGACTGAGTTGTCAGAAGGTCTCAAAAGGTCACCACATGACTCCAGGGCACCGCAGCTGTCATAAATATGACTCATTGCCAAGCATCTGAATTTTGATCACAAAATGAAACAAATAAAATGTTTAAAAGTTATGGTATTTATGTAGTTATCAAGCACATCTAAATTATATTAAAGTAACCAAAATATCTTTACAGTCCCCAAGCCATGTCACAACTTTTGAGCGCTGCTAATGTTTGGAAATTGAAAGTTGAAAAATTTGACATGCCTTAATTGGAGATGCTGTCATGGCCATGTGAAAAACGGTCATAAATTACTTTTTTTCAGTGCTAAATGAACTGTTGTACGTCGATAGGATAGGATAAAGAATTGTAATCCACCTAATCAAGATCCCAGTGAACTTCAATTTCTGCTTTACTTTATTGATGTATCTTCTGTACTTTCAGGATGGAGGGCAGACAAATCCATCCACAGTGAGACAATCTTTTGGCGGTGTTGGCAAAAATCTAGCAGGTAATTCATTCCAATTGTTTCCGCAGTGGGTGTCTACAATTTCTAGCATAGTTCCCTCTGACCAATCCAGATCTGCTGGACTACCTCTCCCATCCCTCTATTTAGCATGGCATCAGACTAGGAAAGGCTGTTTCATTGTATAATTCACTTTAAAGCTTGCCATTATAAAAATACAGATCATATTCAGTTTGTTTCATGTTCATGATATATACAGTTAGTGTAATGGTGTACCCCCAACCTGCAAGCATGCAGAGCATTGGGTATGGTTAGAAGAAAAATAGCAAGAGCAATAGCACTTAGACTTATATACTGCTTTACAGTGCTTTACAGCCCTCTCTAAGCAGTTTACAGAGTCAGCATATTCCCACAACAATCTGGCTCCTCATTTTACCGACCTTGGAAGGATGGAAGGTTGAGTCAACCTTGAGCCTGGTGAGATTTAAACTGCCAAATTGCAGGTAGCTGGCAATCAGCAGAAGTAGTCTGCAGTACTGCACTCTAACTACTGCACCACTACGGCTCAAAATGGCAGGAAAGATAGCTATGATGTGCTCAAAGAAGTTCATCAAATAATAATATAATTCAAACTATGCTGTTCAAGAGTCAGCCGCTTCACTCTCGCTCTCCACACATATACTGTACTATGCTTTCTCTCTCTTCATAGTGGCATTGTAGTTTAGTTTCAACTCTAACCCTAGCCCCAACCGTAACTTATGATACCCACTCTATTCTCCCAAACTCTATTCTTGAGTCACAGCAAGCAAAATTACTGGGATAAGAAAATAGGTTTTATAGAATTCTTTATACAATAGAGTTCTTTATTGGCCAAATTTGATCGGATACACAAGGAACTTGTCTTCAGTGCATAAGCTGTCAGTGTACATAAAAGCTATAAGTGATAAATCATAAGATACAACACTTAATGATAGTCATAGGATACTAAATAAGCGATCAATATAAATCATACTAGGAAACTAAATAAAACAATATAAAGAATAAAGATACAAGCAACAAAGTTATAGTCATAAGTAGAAAAGGAGATAAGAAATAGAAAGGATGAGAAGAAGAATAGTAACACAGCCTTACTAAATAGTTTGACAATGTTGTGGGAATTAGTTGTTTAGCAGAGTGCTCATTCATCTGTCCCTTATTAATTCAGCTGAAAAACACATATCATTTCCCTGATCAAATTACTCCTGACTGACTTGGGAAAGGCTCCATTTCTCTCTGATCCTCCCAAACTAAACCCTAAATGGGAGAGAATTGTAATTCAAGGCTAGACCATATGCTTTGCATCCAGAGGGTTTCAAATTCCATCTCCAGCATCTGTCTTAGCACCTTCCTTTCAAAAAACATCCTCTCCAGAGACAATCCTACAAATGTTTAAACAATCTTTGAAAAGCATAGGTCAAGGTGTGCAATGTCAGTGTTGGTTACATTATGTATTTTATCCCTATTATGTTTGCTGTTATGTTATTACTTCCTTTGCTTTTTGCTGTTGTATCTGTTTTAACCTGCATGCCATCTAGAGTGACTGTTGAACTGGATAACCTTATAAATGCAGACCATCCACCCATCCATCTGTCCATCTGCTAACCTATTATTTGGAATTTTAGTGGGAAAATGGTGAAGCATCCATCTAGTCTTATGGCTGAGCAGAAACTGTGGAATGACATCATTGTCCACAATGCACAGCAACCTCCCTTACAGTATACCATATGCTAATTTCTCTACATTACAATGGCACAAGACAAGGTGCCAATAGTTGCAGCTCTTCTTCCTCCTTGCTCCAGCTCAGTAAATGATAGGACACAGCGGATAAAGAGCAGGAAATCCCAAGAGCCTTTCACTTCGATATTCTGGTTCAAATATTCAACCAAGTTTAGCTTCATTTTACTTCTTCTTTTTTTTTTAGATTGCTTAAGTCGTCTTGGGAAGATGCCTGTTTTTATCTCAGTCATGGGGAAAGATGAGCATTCAGAATCTGTTCTGCAACACTGCAGGCATATGGTAGCTTAAACATTTGAAAATTGTTAACTTATGATCTTACAACATTTTAGTACAATATATGTACTTCCAATTTTCTCTTATTTATTTATTTGTCCGATTTATATAGCAGCCCATTTTATAAAACAAATAACTCTGGGCAGTGAATGTTTGCTTTCATTCTTTGTTTTCCTTTCTTTCAATTTTATAACTTTGAGTTTTAATTTTTATGTTTTGTTTGCCCAGTATTCATCAAACCAACACCTTCTTTTAAGTAACAGACTATATGGGCAATATACCGAGGAAGCTGTTATATTCAATCATAGATTGCATAGCTTAATTTGCAGGTTGGACATGGTGAACATGAAGTTTAAACATTTGCCCTCTGTATGGACAGAATCTAACCTGCAAATTATGTCCATCTTTTGTTTTTAATATCTTAAAAATATTACACTCATTACTGTTTATTAATTTGATTGTAAACCATTTAAAATAATGGTAAGAAGTGGCATTTAATATAAATAAATGAAATTGTTAAGTGGTATAGGCTGCGCCATGGAAAAGCAGACTTGCAGAAGGTATCTCAGTGAAACCTTAAGTGTTCAGGAAAGACGTCCATGGAGACCCTCAGTCATCTAGGTCATGGTTGTCCCAAAGAATTTTTTTCAAAAGGCAACTGGACTTTCTTTGTTTTCTCTTGAAGGTGTTTCATTTCTTATCCAAGAAGCTTGTTCAGAACATCACTTTTGGAATGTTCAGGAAGGAGTCTATAGGAGTACGTAGTCCTGCAACTCAGTTGCTACACAGGGCTCAAAAAGGGAAGAGTAGAAAAGCAATTTCTGAAAACGAAATAAATGTTGCTGATGTTGTCTCTCTTGGTTTGCTTTAAGGATATGAGAGGAGTCTTACAACTGAAAGGACACAACACAGCAACTTACTGTGCTGTAATCACAGGCACTGGAGAACTTACCTTTGGTTTGGGAGACATGGAAATCCACCAGCAGATAACAGAGCAATATGTAAGGTCTTCCTATGTTCTTCTGATTACAGTGTCTCCTATTGATTGGATTTTCTTTTTCATTGTCATTGTTTGCTTTCTTAAGGGCAGAGTGCAGCTTTTTGATATTCAACATAGTTACTGTCCTCATTTATACTTTATCACAGTGTAGACAATATCAGTTGTCTTCTTTAATCACACAGTGTCGTCCTCACTGGTCCTAGTATCTCCTTCCCCCTCATCCCCTTGGTCTGTTATTATCCGATTTCTATGCTATCACTTTCATGATATCATATATTTTGGAAGTTTTACTAAATTGAAGTACAATCTGTCTTGCAGTTCATAGAGTGAAACTTCTATTTCTAGTATTTTGCAGCCAGGAACTTTAAATGACCACAGAGAACATGATTGATGATGACAGAACATCTATGGAATAAGCTGAAGCCATTTTTTCAGTTTGTTGCATCAGGGTTTTGGCAGATGAAACATGAAGGCTGAAGGCACTTGTGTCATCCCATTTTAGCCTGTTGTAATTTTCCCCCAAAACAAAAAGATCTAGCAAATATCAGTCCTGCTAACTCTTGGTGTGTTCTGACAGGTGTTGGGGTAGGGCATCTACAGTTTGTAGTTTACATTGTCCAACCTTCTCCTAAATAAAACAAAGAGTTGAAAAGATATACAGTATTATGCATTTGTGTTACCTTGGAGATTTGATCACATCTACATTTTATAATTAGCTACGTTTTCTTTATTTCTGTCTCATTTGCCCTCCAAAGATCTTAGGGTGGTAGAAATGATGTTTCCTAGTTCCAAGTTTGTTTTCCTACTGGAAAATCCCCATGCTGTGCCCCTGTGAATCATTACCCTCAAGGCTGGCCCAGGTAATCTGTAATTCTAGACACTTTTGCCTATAGTGGATTTGTTCTTCTGAGCTTATGATGGACTGCTGAAAGCCACTTTTTCAATTTTGCGGCCTCCACCCACAATTCCTTCCAGATGTTGATTTCTAATACGTGCCTACCTGTGGAGATATAAGTAATCGTGACTTGCTTGATGAGTGAGGCATATTTTAGGACTCTAATGGAAGAGGCGATTAAGAGTGATTCAGATGCAATTCCACCCTTTTCCTCATGAATGAAAACAGTTGAAAAAAAAAAAGCGAAGACCTTGCCCTTAACAGCTGATCATATTTTCTTAAGAAAGCATTATGCATGTCAGTAAATCACTTATTGCTAGACCTTTAAGAAACAAACATTCATTTTTGAAAGGAAAAATAGTGATCATTCTTCCCACGGTATCACCACACTCTTGAAATTCCCATTTGCTTTAATCAAAGAAATGGTTGATTTGATTATATGCCAACAGATCATTGTTGACTCTTAGCAACTACATAGATTTTTTTCTTCATGATGATCTGTTGCTGACTGGTCTTTACGTTCTTCCAATGGTGCTCCCACCACCATTATACCTATCTACTTTGCTGCTATCCCAAAGGTGCATTTTCCAAAGGCAACTGGACTTTGCTTTTCTTGAAGACATTTCACTTCTCATCCAAGAAGCGAAACATCTTCAAGAAAAAACAAAGTTCAGTTGCCTTTTGAAAAAAACATCTCTGGGACAGCCATGACCTGGATGATTGAGAACCTCCATAGACATTTACCTTGCTCCTAGTCATCCTCTTCTTTTTTTCCCCCTTCCAGTTTTCCAGCTTTTCCCTATAGAGCTATGTCTTCACATAATATATCTGAAGTAGGATAATTTGAACTTCATCATTTGTGCCTTGAGTGAAAACTCTGTGTTGAGTTGTTTGATAATTTATTGGTTTTTCAGTATTTTCCAGAGTGTTCTCCAATACCAGAGTACAAAAGCATTAAACCAAAAAAATGAGGGTGGGGAGAGAGGAATAACCATTAAGTGATATATATTTTCTTATACAATAACAACAAAATTCCTCAGAATTTTTATCAACCTCAATCCACACAAGCACTAGGCTGTGTTTCCTTCTGTTCCTTTAACCCAAGATTTGAGATATAAGGAGGTTTCAGGGCAGGCAGGAAAACCTACATCAAAGGTGGGCTTGTATGGGTGCAGTGCAGATTTGCCACAGTGAATTCCAATCTGTGGAATTAGCAGTGAGCTGCTAATTTTGACAGTATGTTTTCTGAGCATCAGTAGCTCAGTTTTCTCAACTTTTAATGCAGAAACAAGAGACTGTTAGATGACCCCTAAAGAAAACTTAAGTCATTAAAAAGAAGAAGAAAAAAAGGGGGGGACCAGCTGTAAGACTAGCAGTGCATAGCATAGCCTTGTCCATTTTGCACTGTCACATTGCTCAGTTAGGCTCTCCTTGAGCAAGGTTAGATCTTTGTTACCAGCTGCTTACTCAAACATGACTAATGCAATATATTGAGCAAAATGTTCAGCTTGATTTGCTGTGTTAGCTCACTCATTTGCATGTCTGTATGGAAGCCAGCAAAGTTTACATCTGAGCGAACATACCAAGTGATTCCAGTGCACAGGTTATGTCATGCAAATATAGATTGTAGCAACGCTGCAAAGAAGCACTGCTCTTTGGGTAGGTCACATTGAAGAAGATGGACGTTGGCATTAGAAAACATAAGTTAAGCAACTTGGTTTTGGACTGCAAATCCCACTGTCTGAATTTCAAGTGTAAACATAGGAGGACATCTGATGTAAGGCAATTTCATACCCTCTCTCTTTTTCTTCCTAATATGTTTCTGACAGACAGATGGTGTGGGAATTAATTCTCAAGCAGTCAGAGAAGGACAACACAATGATGGATCAGACTGTTTTCTATTGAAGGAACAGATGGAATTTTCCTCTTTCCAAAGTGGAAGCCAAGTACACAAGGCAGCCAAGGAAGGGGGCACAAAGGGGCATGATAGTAATTCCATCAGTAGGATTTGTGCTTGAAACACCAGTTGCCCAAACTCTTCCATTATAATTCTAGCTTTTCTATAATAAGAACTACTGATTGGAAATTTTAGGATTCTTGTGTGCTTGCTTGGTGCATGCTGAACATTGACAGATGGGTAGGTGTTGCTGTTATATAGCAGAGGCAGAAAAACATACATCTAGCTTGAAACCATGGTACTTATTTTTATTCCATATGAAGTAGATTTTTCATTGCAGTGAAAGCTGCTACTTTTCAACTTAAGTATAGCCCACTTGAAAGCTGCTTTGCAGGTGACTTTTTTTTAATGGCTGAAGATTGTTTTGCCAATCCTAGAACATTCTGTCTGAGAGGTAAAAGAGACATATGTACATCTTCCTCTACTGAAGAGCAGAAGTGTAGTAGCTATGTTCATAAGGTGAGTTGTAACATCAGCCGATAACCCAGAAAAACTCAAAGAATGTGTATCTGTGCACCCAAACTTGGTAACTCTAAGATGTGTGGACTTCAATTCCCAGAATTCCCCAGTCAGCCATGGCTGGGAGTTGAAGTCCACACATTTTAGAACTGCCAAGATTGGGTGACACTGGTCTATACTACTATGCAATTAGTTGTTGTTGTATTTTCCTGCCACATTTAACCAGTTATTTGGCAGCTGGTGAAATTGACTTGAGTTCTGTCAGCTTATCATTGTAGCCAAAGTGGTAGCAAGAATGAGTCGTAAATCTGTAAGCAAAGAGAGCCCAGCTGATAGATGGATGTGAGAGAGGATAGGTCTGAGATGAAGCAGGAGAAAATTGTCTGGATGAACCCTATGGACCGCCCCCCCCATTTCTTCCTGTATTCTTTCTTTGCCCCATTGTCTGTCAGTCAAACTATTGGGGGGCACACACTATTGGTTTTTCAGAAGACTCATGGAACCCAGTTCAGAAAGAGCTCAAGTGGCAGGTTACCAATATGGAGCAACTCCGAATTAGGAATCTGTCACTAGCAATCTAACAATTTGAAAGATATCTAAAACCTCTGTTCCAGATACTAATCCAGATTTATTCAAGTCTTCCCTGATATACTTCTAAGAAGGAACAAAATGTAATTTTTGTCTTCATCAGTTGGTAATGGGTGAAAGAGGAAATAAAGACAGTATAATCTACAAACTTCTTGTAAGCTTCATTACCAAGGGAGATAAATTCAGATTGGCAGTACAAATTGTTGTGTCCCTGACTAGCTAAGTCTTCAACCTGGTCCGCATTTTGAGCGGGACCACCGACTGTTCCCATTGGTTGGTGCCGTTTGACAGCAGACTATATAAGGAGCTGTCAAACGGCATCAACTGGGGTTTTGGGGCTCCGGCTCCAGCCAGCCGGCTGCCAGCCCAGCTGGGCAGCCACGTTAATCTGTTACTGCTTCAAATAAAGAAACGTTATTCTTCAGCTCCTGTGTCTGCCTGGTGTGTCCGTCTAGACCAATACAACACTGGCGACGAGGGTGGGATGTCAGAAGAGACACCCAGGCAAGAAGCTAAGTCACTGAAGAAAGAGCTGAAGCCACAGAATGTCTGGAGCCACAGACAGTCTCTGCACGCGCCAAATTTAAAGAGCCTCCTGAGCTGAGGAAAAAAAAAAAAAGTCTCCCTGAGCTGAGGAGAAAGTCTCCCTGAGCTGAGGAGAAAGTCACTGCCTGACAGGCACTCTAGCCTCCCATGCGAAAGGCACCCCCGTTGGCACTACCAAGAGCGCAGAAGTCTGAAAGCCTCCCCAGCCGAGGAACAGTCGTCGCCATCAAGGACCGTGAAGGCCAGCAAAACCCCCGTTGGCGCTATCAAGAGCGCAGAAGTCTGAAAGCCTCCCCAGCCGAGGAACAGACGTCGCCATCAAGGCCTGTGAAGGCCGGCAAAACGCCCCCCTAGAGCTGGCATAGAGCCGCCTCCTGTGCCAAGGGCACCCCCGTTGGCGCTACAAGAGCGCAAAAGCCTACAATTCCTAGCCGAGGGACAGACGTCGCCTCAAGGCCCGTGAAGACCGGCACGGCCTCCGCTGCCCCCCCCTGACCCGGCCGCCGTTACCATCCTGCCGCCGCCGCGGCTTCCCGAGCTGCCGCCTCTGCCGCCTCGCTCCGCCGCCGCCGCCTCCACTGCGGCCGCTCCCGCTGAGGACGCCGAGCGCCTCTTCTGCCGCCGCCGCGGCCTTCGCTGCCGCCGCCGTGGCCTCCGCTTCTTCTGCCGCAGCCGCTGCCTCGCTCCGCCACCGCCGCGCGGCCTCCATTCTTCTGCCGCCGCCGCGGCCTCCGCTGCCGCCGCTGCGGCCTCCGCTTCTTCTACCGCTGCCGCGCGGCCTCCGCAGCCGCCGCCTCGTTCCGCTGCCGCCGCGTGGCCTCCGTTCTTCTGCCGCCGCCGCGGTTTCCCGAGCTGTCGCCTCTGCCGCCTCGCTTCGCCGCCGCCGCCGCCAGCCGCTCCCGCCAAGGAAGCCGAGCGCCTCCGCTGCAGTCGCCTCCCCGTCCCGGCCGTTGCTGCCGCCTCCGCCGCGGCCGCCGACAGCCCGAGCGCCTCCTCGACTCCACCGGCTGCCGAGTGATGGGCCACTGCCGGTGCAGCTCTTCACTATTGTGGACTGGGTTCAGCCATTGGCTCTGCAGATCTGCAGCCCCTCCGGGGTTGAGCATGGCTGGTGTGCGTTTCCATGATTCACTGAGTTGTTTGAGACTTTTCTTCATTCTCTCACTTATGTTAACTAAAAATTCTCTCTGCACCCCCTCCTTCCCAGTGACTCTGGGGGATGGATCCGGTATTTAGGGGGGGGGGTGTCAGGCGTTGAACAAGGAGGTGCGCACCCACCATTAGAGTCCTTCCATGCACCCACCTCCAGGGTCTCTCCCACCTGGGCTTGTCTCCCTTGACAGTAGCACTACACTCCCCAGGGGGGGCGAAAGCTAGGTAGGTGGGAGGTTGGATGTTCGTGTCCCAAGGGGGCCAGGAGAGCACAACGAGCCTCCATCCTTAGGGTTCAGGCACCTCTGCCCTACCCCATGCAGGCAGTCACCAGACATGTTTATTCACCATCTTATCTGGTTCCCCTTCTCAGGCTCCTGCCTTGTGACAGGTGGGGTGCCATTTTTTTGTAAGCCTAGTGGATAGGTGTGCAAAGCAGCTACTAGTTCAATTTCCTTGTTATACCATTGTATTCCCAAAAGGCTGGGCAGCGCATGCTCTTAGCTAGGGGAAAGGGGTGTTGTGTCCCTGACTAGCTAAGTCTTCAACCTGGTCCGCATTTTGAGCGGGACCACCGACTGTTCCCATTGGTTGGTGCCGTTTGACAGCAGACTATATAAGGAGCTGTCAAACGGCATCAACTGGGGTTTTGGGGCTCCGGTTCCAGCCAGCCGGCTGCCAGCCCAGCTGGGCAGCCACGTTAATCTGTTACTGCTTCAAATAAAGAAACGTTATTCTTCAGCTCCTGTGTCTGCCTGGTGTGTCCGTCTAGACCAATACAACACAAATCATTCGGGCATACTTGTCTGTCCTTCAAGGACTTGAGGAGTGCATATGAATTTGGCCACAAGGAAGAGACCCTGATCCTTCAGATAAAGGAGTGATTTACACTCTGATTGCCAACTTTAATTTGTTCAGACAGTAGTAAATTTGTGGGATAATAAAAATATTAGCACATGGAGAGGAGAAATGTAAACATGAGACTATTGTGTTGTATAAGCTAAACAGGATGGGAGACCCCAGGGCTGTAGGTTAGATGCAGATGTCAAGCAACATCCTAGAAGACAGTGGCAAATTAATTCTATATTACTGTGAAAACTCTAAATTGAGCTTAATGCAAAGGAGACTTCATATTCATGCAAGTGACAATATTGATTTAGCATAGCATTCCTTCCAAAGGACCTGCTAGATTATTTTGCCCAAATGGGATATGACCAACCTACAAAATTCATATCCTGCATTTGTCACATTCATAGAATCTACTTGGTTTTTCCATTGCCAACTGTCTCCTGCCATTCCCTTCAGGTGTCACAGTTCAAGGAGAATCTGTGCTTGGCTCCAATAATATGCATTGATGGGAATGTGCCAGTTTCTACCATTGAGTACATCTGTCAGATTGCCAGAGAACATCACTTAGCAGGTAAGAAGAAACATGTTGGTACAGGCATGATATATATCACTCTACTTTTTTAATAGTTATCATTGCAAAGGAGCAGAATCTGGATGCTCCAATGCAGCTTCCAGAGCCCCCCAAATGATGCTATTTAAAATGCAATTTCATGGAAGCTGACATAATTAATCTCCCATCTGAACTATATTGTTGCTTCCTTCTAGACCAGGGGTGTCAAACTCACGTCATCATGGTGGCATCACGTGACGTATTGTAACTTTTTCCCACATCACTAAACTGGGCATGAGCGTGGCTAGTGTGTGATGCATCTGGCCCATGGGCTACGAGTTTGGCAGTCCTGCTCTAGACAATAGTATTCCTTTTTTTCCTTACTATTGATTGGTGGATTTTGGTAGTTATTCACTCAGCATTTGAGACCTTCATGCTTGTTAAACCTGCTTTTACAGGGAGAAGCTGTCCAAGACACTCCATTTGGCATATTGGCCCTGGATATCCCAGTGCTTGAAGTAGAATTGGATGTTGTCATATGGTTCCAACAATTTTGGTCACGGTGTTTGTGTTTTAATTTTTATAGTGAAACTATAAAACTATAAAATATTATCATTACCTGTAATCTGTCCTATTTTTCATTCTAACATTCAGCCAGTATTAGACAGCTAAGAAATATATTAGTTTGTTCACGGATTAAGGGAGAAATGTGTGTATCAAACTTGACACCCAGAACTCAACAGAGAAGAAAGTAGTTTTGTGGAAGAAAGTAATGCTAATCAGACAATTAGCAAGATAGGTGCATCTTATCCAGGCAAATTGATTTCAGCCTAATCCTTTTGAATGATCAGAACATAAGAAGCATCTCTGACTAAAACTTTAAAGTTGTGTTTTTATGTAGTGGCCAACAGGATGATGATGATGATGATGATGATGATGATGATGATGATGATTATTATTATTATTATTATTATTATTATTATTATTATTTTGCACTATTGACATTTTAACAAAAAATGCAAAGATAGAAGCGTTTTGACTAAATAGGATGCTTTATGTTTGTCCGAATCACTGACCAAATGCAATGCTTTTTTCAAGTGTACTATGAACCTACGGATGTGAACAAAGCTTCGAAGCCTTTTCTTTCAGAGAGTTGGAGAGGTCTGAGCTGCATATCTCCCAACCTTCGGGAACTCAGAGCCATCAGTCAGACCCTGGGAAATCCTGTGCCAACAGGTGAAGCACATTTGGGAATGACAGTAACAAAGAAGTATTTATAATTTATAGCTTGGAAATATTAAACTTACATTACACATTTATTAGCCCCTGGTTAACAATTCAGTACCATCTTTCTACTTGGGAATTGCTAGTGGGAAAAATGTTTAGAGGTAACAAAGTTGGTTTCTGGAACTTTTAAGTATTTAAAACATGGAGTCTATCACTGAGCTATGTTCCCCTTTGAGACATGGTGGTGCAATAGTTAGAATACAGTACTGCAGGCTATTTCTGCTGACTATAGCCGCCTGCAATTTGGCAGTTCGAATCTCACCAGGTTCAAGGTTGACTTAGCCTTCCATCCTAGCAGTTCTGCTAGTTTTGTCATCTTTATCAGCCATTCCTCTGTTGTGGGTGTTTTAGAGTTGTAATTACAATTTCTGATAATGACGGCAATCATCATCTTAACTATAAAATATTCTACTTAAATAAAGGAATAAACAAAAGAAAGAAAAAGTTAAAGAAAATCTAATGTTCTCAATAAGTCAAAGCCACAGATTCCTTATTTTCCTGCTTTCTAAAAACTGTTAACACAAGGGAAGGGGAAAAAGTGGAATAAAAAACTTTCATGGATTATTTATGTTTGAAATATACCAAAGTGACCAACCAGGCTAGTAAATTCTTTTTCGGTGGCCTATTTTCCATTGTAATCTGATATCAGCCTCCATTTGTTTGAGATAACTGGCAGCCACTTTCAGATTGTAGAATTTCTTCATGTCTTTGTCCAGGGCTTAACTAAAACGCATGATATGGGGGATGAAATGTCTATCCCAATAGATGTGTTCAGTTAAACAATTTACTCCTTTTTACCACTCCTGGGAGTCAATCTGGAAATATCATTGATTTTTTTCCATTGTATTCTAAAACCATTTCCTTCCTTTTATTGTGTTCAGACCTCTAAAAGAATTCCACCATGACAGATTTGAACTTCCAAAGGATTAAAACTTAGCGCATAGAAACCTCTAATAGGACAGTTCCTGGGGGGGGGGGGGAATTACCATAGCAACTACAAGTTAACCTTAATACCCTTTGTCGATAGATTATTTGGAGCCAGTCATATATTTGCACTCCAATTTATCTCAAAGGTTTGTTATTGTGAAGATAATTATTGTCAGTGACACCATTCAGATATAATTACTGACATACTTCCTTCTACCATTCATTTCCATATTTCTTTTGAAATAGAAATATAGTAAATAATTAATTCTAATTTCTAGTTCCTCTTAGTGATATTAAAAAAAAAACTGTGAATGGTCAATTATGAATTCAATGCTATCTGACTGAGTTTCACTCTTACGTTTCTGGAATGGAACCTACAGATCTGCCATCAAAAGTGGAGGATATTATCAAGACTGCTACTGTTCTGGTTTACCCTTTATTGAGAGGGCTACACTGTGTGGTAGTAACTCTTGGTCAACATGGAGTCCTGCTGTGTGGCCGAAGCAAGGGTGGAAGTGTCTCTCTGCACCCTCAAACATGCTGTGAGGTAAAATATGTGAAAAACAGATGGGAAAATAGTGAAACTAGCATTTTCTTTGAAATACTACAGTTATAGGGACTGTCATATTAGTTATAGATGATTAATTTCCCGATATACAGAATAATTGAGAGAATGCCCTGTGATGGGTTGGAATGTGGCTGTGATTCTTTCTTCTTGTTGTTAGCATTGTGCATTAGCATGGTTAGCATGGTGAAGGTAATGATAGATCATCTCCTAGCTGCTTTTGAGCGATTTGGTGGTAGAAATGTTATGTGATAGAATGGCAATATGGAAACACCTTTAGGGATTTGTTATGGATAAGGAAATGAAACTACAAAGGCAAAGGAAAAAATTTAGAACACTAGTCCCTCTTTGGATTTGAGAGTTCAGAAGACCCTGCAGAAATCTTCCCTTCAATAGTGAGGACTTGCCTTTAAAAGATCAAACATGTAAGAATTCCTGAAAATGAAAAAGTCCATTCTCATCATTTTTAAATTATGGATTTGTGTTTGTAAACATGAAAATGGAGACTTGAATATGGGAAATAGTATCTCTTCTCATTGGTCCTTCCTTTTCAATTGTTGATTACAGTCAATTCTCCTGCTCAATTCCCCTGTTTCAATTGTAATACTTGAGGGCTATGAGTTCAATTCATATTACCATCACTTTTCTCCAATCAGGCCTGATTAAATGAGTAAGGAAATTCTCATCTTGTGTCATGTTCACCTTTAGCTATCCAGAACATTAGTATTTATCAGAAGAGCAGGAAGGCATCTTATACTTGTCTCCAGGCCTAGCTCCTTGAATTCTCCCATTTCATTTTACAGAATGCTACAGAGGAATTACGTGCTGTTCACTACCCAGCGCTCCCTGTCCCCACTGAAGAGATAGTGAATGTCTCTGGAGCTGGTGATAGGTACTGTATATACTGCTAATTGTTCGTTGAATGTGTGCCATGGCTGTAGAGTGTTCCACCTCCCTCTGCTAGATCTTTGAAACTTAGGTTGCTGTGACAACACAACAATGCATGCAGATATGCCACATTGCTAAGGAAAGCACTAGCCTAACTATTTGTTTGGACATGATGAGAGATAGAAAGCTTGTTGTAAACTGTCACTGTTCTGCATTGTTGTGAAAGAAAAATACATAGAGTTATATTTTATGGTTATGTTTTGGGAAGATAATTGAAGCTTTGTTCCACATGCCTGGAGACACAACTATTGTAAAAAGACCACAAAACTTTTTAGGATATGTTCCCCAAGAGCATCAGGTACTTTTATTAATGTAGAGGGCAATTCTGGGCTGTCCAATTCAAGTCCATTTCATGTATTGAATATTATTTTTATTGTTAATGTACCCAAGTTGTGTATATATTTTGTACTAACCTATTCATAGTTTTAGTACGAAGTTACCTAAATTGCTAGAAAACATAATATAACTCAGTGCAGGAAAGGCCAATAGAGAACCATGTAAGAAAGTAGTTATGGCTCTGTAGATTTCTTCCTTGTCCAGTAGTGACAGAAACAATAGTACGTTATATGTCCCATTTACTGTGCCATGAAGATGCCTTGAGAAATATTTAAAGTACACCTCCTTGCTACATTGCCTCCATCTCGCCCTCAGCCCATGGTAAAAGGAATCTAAAGCTGCCTTAGTTCTATTGTTAAACTAATTTTCCCTTGTGCCATGACAAATCATGTCTGCAACACCTCACTAGGATGGTTGATAAAATGGTCAAGGTTTGGGAATTGTCCAGCTGCAACTGACAACTCATTTGCTTCATTATATTTGGGCAATGCTCTGAGTTAGCACTTAGCAATAGCAGTTATATATTGCTTCATGGTGCTTTATAGCCCTCTCTAAGTAGTTTACAGAGCCAACATATTGCCCCCAACAATGGAAGCTGGGTCAACCTCGAGCTCCATCAGGATCAAACTCCTGACTGTGGACAGAATTAGCCTGCAATATTGTGTTCTAACCACTATGCCACCACATCTCCCCTCTGGCTCCATTTTGACTTTGGCTGTAGAGAAACCATCAACTGACTTGTTCAGAGTGTACCAATCAGGCAGATTTCCCCCGTTCCTTTTGTTTTGGGAGTAATTGTGAGACAATCCCATTAAAAAAATATTCTGGCTGACTGATTGGTGGGGTATAGGAGAGACACATGGTAAAGCACAAGGGAATTCTTTCTCACTGTGTGAAAACTCTGGGTAGGTTTTTGTGTTCCTTTTGTTTCTGACAGTAGAGTATCGAATTGCTTTTTTAAAAAATCTGTTAATAACTTGTGGCTGAACTTCCTACTGATTTCCTTAACTTAATTCCTTAATGGTAGATAAGAGTCCACACTGTATCTGTTCAAGCAAAAATTTCATCAGGCTTTGGTCTCAAATGCTTTGTTTTGGATTTTTACCCAGCAAAGAATTGAAATTGGTAACCCAACTGGCATTTTCCGCTCAGCAATCTTATTGCTGGCCGCAGGGGCTCACATGCCCTGCCCTAATGTCTGACTGTGGTGGAGAATAAGGGTGTCATCTCCTCACCTGGAAGGCTTTGAAAAGCAGTGGTCATACAGATCTTCCTGAATTGTAATTCCCTGCATGCACTTAGTTGCTCAGGAATGGTGAGCAGAGGTACCCCTTCCATATACAAAGACCATGCCGTTGTGATATTGTCAATGCCCCTCTGGACTCTTTGAGAAGTTGAATTGATGAAGAAGAAGCTCAGTTCCTCTTGCAAAAAAGATTTTGCAGTGTTCCGAATCTGTGGACCAGTTGGCTCCTGACAGATAGAAACTCCTACCTCTGCTTCCTAACATGAGTTTTCCCCTTTTCCATCTTCAAGTCAAAAGTCCACATCCTCCATTGTTATTCCAAGGGGAAGTTTTGCCATCTCCTTCCCCGTTCCACCAGAGTTATTGGTCATGAAATGAGACAGTAGGAGCACGCATGGTTCTTGCTGGGTAAACTTTTTTGGGGTGCTGCTGGTATATGCTGTGAAGTTACTTCAGAGAGTAGGGAGGAGTAAGGGTGGTGAAAATGTTCTTAATGCTCATATTCCATGCTTATCCCTTACCCTAGTTTATGGTCTAGTTCAGCCCACAATATCTCTTTTGCAGTTTAATGGCTGGAATCATCGCTGGGCTGCTTGCTGGGGAAGACACAGATAACTGCATCCAGATGGGCCTCCTCTTAGCCAGTCTTTCCCTCCGCTCTTATGAGCCTGTTTCTCCAGAGATCAACAGCACCAGTGTGAGCTTGGCAAGGCTCAAGGCTCAGAGATGGCCTGTGGCCAAGATATGGAAGTTGTCTTAGCTGGAGTTGAAGATTTTCTTCCATTTCTCCTCTAGTCTTCATAGATGGAGGGGGAAAAAGAGTGCCTGAATCTTCCTGTGGCCCATTCTATATTATTTTAACTCTGTTTACTATGTGTCATGCCCCAGCATATATTTTTTATATATAGTGTTGTTGCTTTCTAGCCCCATCTAGTGGCTGGAGGAACAAATACCAATCTATATTGTTTTGAAGCTGACCCAATGCCTTTACCCATCAGCTTGCACTCTCAAAACAAGTGCACGTTAGGAAGCCAGACTCCATTTTCCTTTAGCATTTGGAGGAGGCAGAAACACAAAAGAAGAATCCATCTTAAACTATGGCACATGTTCATCCAAGAACAAGCCCACATCCCACATACAGAGCATCGCTTTTCCACCATATCCTGGTCTTTCAATGAAGCATCCAGATCTACACACACGGTCTGTTTTGTTGGAGGATAGGTGGGTTTAGCTGCATGTTGAGCTGCACACAGACTAATGTGTTATGAGGACAGAAAACACTGTGTATTAATAAAAATTTTAAAAAAATCTATCGCAGAGCTCATCCTAAGCCTTGTACAGACACACACACACAAAAGAATTAAATCTACACTTGATCATGCACTTTTGCAGGTATTTTGTTAATCTGCATGGTTCCTACTTCTAATTGCTATGGGAATAAGCAATATATTAGGCAAAGCAGTGCAGCCTCCAGTTAGAGATGCTGTTATCAGGAGGAGGAATATTCCCATTTTTGTGTAGTCTTTCCAAAAGCTCTACCTAACTGGAGCTTGCATCCCAAATCTCATTTTACATATTGCTTATTTAAAATTGTACAGTATTGGAAGATATATTATCTTTGATGAGGTATATACCTAAAATGCCTTTACTCGTAATTCCAACAGAGCAAAAATGATTCAATGGTGTTGGAGAACTTGATTTAGGCTGTATTTTTAAACAAGTGTTTAAACGATCTCCCTAAATTAATGCACAAATTGAAACTCAAATATTCCTCAAAGTTCATGTTTTCTGAATTTAGAGGTGGCATGCTAGTCTCAAAAATACATAAAAAATCATGTTTTAGAGGGAGAAATAATAGTTTCAGTAAAAACAGCGGGGCACAACGGATTATCACTGCCACTGACATGGACTGATCTGTTTCTAATTACAACAGTTGAACAACAAAAAATCAGGAATGATCAATACTTCTACAGAAGGACAGAGGGGAGATGTACTCATCACTTGCTCATTAGGCAGAATGTTTTCTTTCTTTCCTTCACCAGCAATGTTCTCAAAGTGCTTTCGAGCACCTGCTCATCCCCCCCCCCAAAAAGGGAGGAGTAGGAAATGTTCCATTATCACAATGGAGGAGAAAGATGGCATTAGGCACATGTCTGAGTGGGAGTACATGCTTTGCAAAGAAGTTGGGTGTTACTGGGATGGAGCAGTGAGGGAGGGGAGGAAAGAGGAAGAAAATTTCCAAGGAGACGATACAAGCTATAAAATTGATATCATAACAAAGGGGGGGGGGAAGAGATGTGTATTTGTGTAAGAGAGGATGGGGTGGGGGGAGGGGATGAACTGGGACAGTGAAGGCATAAAAGGCTTCCACCATCCATGCATGGAAAAGAAGAGAGGCGCACTCAAATGTGTGTGGTTGTTTTAAATTGCTCCAGCAGGCTCCCAAGTCTTTAGATAGTTGGGCAAGAACAGTCAAGACAACAGTATGAAGGCATCTAGAATGACCATCCTCGCCCTTTCCATGCCGTTTTATTTTCTGATTCAAACTGGGAAAGGGCTGGCTGCTGATGTCGACCCGGCTGGAACTGTAAAATTTAGGAAGAACTTCCAGCCCAGTCACAGAGACATAGAGGTAGAAGAGAGGAAACAGCCTTCCCTTAGATTGTGGAAGGCTGCAGAAGGGAAAGCCCAGTTAGGTGATGGAGAGAACGACAAAGCAGCAAGCAATTTGCAACTGGGAACCAGTAAGCAGAGGCCAAGTGGCAAGAGGCCGTTTCTCCCACTGTCCCCTCCAAAGAGCAAGGGTCAAGGGCCTGAGGCCCACTTGGAAGGCCATGGGAACTTCAATACAGATACGGTGAGTAACATATATTTTTTTAAATTAATTTTGGTCTGATCCTGAAATGCTTTTCCCAAGTCTTGCTGGAAATAAAATTTTATTTGTAGTTGAGTTTTTGTCAGATTATCAGGGGGGTGGTGTTGTGGCACTTAAATGTGATGAAGGGACAAACTTCAGTTAGAAGATTATACAGAATATTTTTAAAATTTCATCAAGTTGCAGTATTCTGGAAATACAGATAGTCCTCCACTTACGACTATAACAGAGCCCAAAATTTCTTGCCTCCCTAATTCACTAGTCCTCAACTTATGACCACAGTTAAGGCCAACATTTCTGTTGCTAAACATTTATTAAATGATTTTTGCCCCATTTTACGAGCTTTCTTTCTGCAGTTGTTAAGTGTTAAGTGAACCACTGCAGTTGGTAAGTTAGTAACCTGGTTGTTAAGTGAATCTGGCTTCCCCATTGACTTTGCTTGTCAGAAGGTCACAAAAGGGGATCCCATGACCCCCCTGGGACACTGCAACGGTCATAAATATGAACCAGCTGCCAAGCACCTGAATTTTGATCACGTGATCATGGTGGATGCTGCAAAGGTTATAACTGAAAAACGGTCATAAGTCACTTTTTCCGGTGCCGTTGTAACTTTGAACGGTCACTAAATGAATTGTTGCAAGTTGCGGTCTTCTTGTACTTGCAAACTGGCATGCCTTAAATTAATCCTCATTCCTTAAAGCTGATAATGACTGTCATGCCCCTGGTGGAGACTGACTCTGAGGGAGAGGAGGAACAGCTGACAGGGAGTGGAAGTGTGGCTCTGGAGGTTGTGAAGGAGGCTGGGGAAGGGCAGAGGCCAGCTGAGCAGTCAGAGGAGGACCCAGGCCCATCCCCTATCCATCCTAGGGCATGCAGGGAGGCGAGGATAAGGGAGAGATGTGGTCTCCTCGGGAGGAGAGGGCCTTGATCCTCTTCATGGGCTGCAGGTGTGACAACTGAATAAGAGGACGGACTTGCGTACGGGTGAATGCTGGAAACAAAGCGTGGAAATATCTCTAGTTTATGGTTCCTCTCTGAGTTTGGCATCCTTTTCAGTGTGTGCTATCTGTGGACGTCCTCCAGCCCTCACCTTGCCTGGTTTGTGTTGCTTTTTCCTTTCTTCTTGTAACTGTTTGTGTGGGAGTTTTTTGTCTTCTGTCAAGAATAATCAGAGCTTGGAAGCAAAGCGAAGGAATAAAAGGAGCGTCACCTGTTTTCTGTGACTGTGTTTGTTTTGTATTCTACCCTGGATCATCACAATGACAGCCAAAAACCCAATAGATCAGGAATTACGCCTCCTCCTTTGACAAAAGCCAATGTAATAAGGTTTAGCTAATAAAAGTTACTGTTGGCCCCACTAGTAGGCCCGGCCAAGAAATCATTGCTACCAGAAAACTAAAACTACTTTTATTGAGATTGGCCATAAGTAAAATTTGCAACTCTAATTCTCTTAGGAGGAGGAAACATTCTTATACATGTAGTCCTCGCCTTACAACAGTTCACTTAGAGACCACTTGAGGTTGCAACGGCACTGAAAAAAGTGATTTTTATGACCCAATTTTCACAATTGCAACCATTGGTCCTGTGATCAAAAAATTCAGACGCTTGGCAACTGACTCATACTTATGACCGTTGCTGTGTCCCAGGGGGGTCATGGGGACCCCTTTTGTGACCTTCTGACAAGCAAAGTCCATGGGGAAGCCAGATTCACTTAACAACCAGGTTACTAACTTACCAACTGCAGTGGTTCACTTAACACTTAACAACTGCAGAAAGAAAGCTCGTAAAATGGGGCAAAATTCACTTAACAAATGTTTAGCAACAGAAATTTTGGCTTCAACTGTGGTAGTAAGTTGAGGACTAGTGAATTAGGGAGTGTCTAAGAGGCTTCTGAATACTATCTAAACATTGTAGACTTCGGGAAAGGTTTTATCCCTTGTCACCTTGGTGACAGAGTTTGTCTATTAACATCAACTTCCTTATTCTCTAGTTATACTAGTTTGTGATCACCATAAAAATATAAATCTAGCAAGAAACACCATACAAGTTAATTATTGAGAGAGAATTTCTTACTTTCCAAACAATGCTTGTTATCTGCAGTTTCTTTTATTTCCTTTCAGTATTCCTGCTCTGGTATCCAGTTGAAAGCCTGCCGAAAACCGTCTGATTGTGATGGCTGCTTGGGCCTCTATACTTGCAAACTTCCAAAAGGAAAGTGCGACTTCAAAGCAGTTTCCCGACAAACAGGTACCACATAAACCAAGCAGAACAACAAAATACAAGTGAATGAGACTCTTCTCCTGCTTTCAAATACTTCTTATAGAGATCAATACAGTGCTTGTTCTCACTGAGCACTAATGTGATGTAGAGGATAAAATATTGAACTAAGACTGACGGGCAGGGGAAGAACCAAAATAAAACTCAACTTCAGCAATAAAGCTCAGAGGGTTATCAATACAACAGAATGTTTGAAGCTCAGGGTTGAACTGTGGGCTCTTTGCTGTTCTCTGACCTTGGTTGTTTTCTTGCAGATGTTTCTAGTTTGGTAATGAAATGTCTGCAAGAAAATATCCAAGCTCAGAAAATACCAAAGGGCTCTCGATAGGATAGCCACTATTTCTCTCTCAACCTTCCTTGGAAGATTGTGTTATGGGGAAACATTGAAAGAACAAATTATGTATATTGCTTCCTACTTTTGAAGGAGCAGTAGTGACTAATCTGAATGTCTAAATAAACACCTTTACATCTGGATCGTTCCATGTAAGAAAATTACACATTACGATCCTTAATACAAAAAAGAAAATTAAATTTCCCACCGGAAATTAGAGATCAGTGAACGCTTTCTAGATATGTATAAATACAGTTTGTCTAGAACTACAGTAAATTTGACATAAGAAACCGCTAAACCAGGGTTTCAAATGCTGTTTTCGAGCAATAGGCAACAGAGGGCGCTGTAAGGTCATAGGGAATGAAAATCTGATAAGATTGAGACCACTTTTGCAATCTTTGTAAAGTACTCTTTAAAAAAAAGCTACATGTGAAAAGTTTTGCCATTGGCTTTGGCATCAGTTTCTCCTGCAATGGTTAAAAAACAAAAACAAACCGAGATCTAGTCCTTTAGAAATGCACCCACAATGTCCTTCCTTCCAGCCTTGATTGCAACAATCTAACTCATGTTTGATCTCATGGTGGCCACCCTATCCCTATCTAAAAATAATTTCCTGTTTAATTCAAGGCAGAGTCACTGTATATAAATTGTATTAATTGCAGTTCTCCATAGTTGTGTTCATGTGACTAGGCAGGAGATGCCTGTTAGGAAGGAGATTACCATTAGCCAAGTTTGGATCAAGCAATAGAGACAACATCTTTCTCTCCTTTACCAATAAGGGCATTTTATTAGGCTCCTGGGTTTTTTTTTAGGCTTATCACTATATTGAAAAAAAAAGCAAAGGTAGAGTTGTACTTGCACATTAAAAATGTGTGCAGGTATTTAAAAAAAAATCAAAAGAGAAGAAAAAGCTATTAAATCAGTTTTAACATAGTCGCAAAATGTAAAATCAAAAGGCAACTCTAGGAAAGAATGTCATCATAACTGTGAACACTAACTGTTCATTGACAATTTGAGTACCTTTCCTATTCCAGGCTGTTGTTTTGAAGGTAAAATGAAAAACCTTAGCCTTGGGACCAGGAAGGAAGAAAAAAATGAAAAATAAAAGGAGAAAGTTTCCTTAACTCAATGCCCTCAAAGGTTTTCTGAACTTCCCAAATTCCCAGTGAGCTTTTGATCATGCTTTCTAGGGCTTGAGTTTCAACATAATTGGAGACCATCAAAATAGGAATTAAGAGAACATGGGCATTGTCTTCAAAGCTTGGGTAAAATGAGCAGCTTTGCATATCTGCGGAGATTCTCAGTCATCCGTGTCATGGTTGTTCCAAAAGTGCTTTTCTAAAAGGCAACTGGACTTTGTTTTTTTCCCCTTCTTTTGAGAACATTTTGCTTCTCATTCTCAACCGAAGAAGCTTCTTGAACGAGAAGCAAATCATTTTCAAGGAAAAGAAAAATAACCAAGTCCAGCTGCCTTTTGGAAAAGCATCTTAGGGATGAGCATCTTTGGGCCATGCAAAAGTTATCTATCCATGTTCTACCCATGTAATTAGCATGTCACTACTCATTGTTGGCTTTCTCCACTCAGCCCCAAATCTGAGTTTACACAGCCTGCAAGTTTCTGTAGACAATTTTAACTCGTCATGGACCACATGGTAGTTTCTAAACTATGGTTTATGCCTTAAAATATTGAGCAAATCCAAGTAGTTGTGGTTATCTCAAACTTGATTAAAATTGACAAGGTTTTACTGGCATAGAAATGCTCCAGGGTTGAAGATGGCAAGGGGAAGAGATATTGATAAGCTGGCATTCTAGTTTCTACCATGTAAGGCACTGGCATGTTTTTTTCCCCCCCACACAATCCATCATGCAGAACTTTTATTTTAAGGGATGCACTTTTATATTAGCAAGGTTGCCATTACACTTAATTTTTGAAAGACTTCCTTGCAGCAAGCCTATGGCACTCAGAGTCACCCCAAACTACAAAATGGGTGGCAAATGAATGTTATTAATGAATTTTAATAATAAAACTGTAGTTTGAAAGAGCCGATTTCCTAATTGTATTGGACCATACGAGAACCCATGTGCTACCATTTGCACTATGCTGTAGTCACTTGGGTGTTGCATTTTCTCGCTGCTTACAATGTGTTTTTGCTATTGTGGAAATTGGGGAATATGGACCTGGCCTGTAGTTCACACAACTGGCTGCATCCCATGTATCCAAGACAAATCATCACCTTGAGATGGTGACAAATAGGTTCAAGTGCTTAGGGATGCTTCAAATCAGGGACTTGTTGCAATTTTCTCACTTATCTTTAGCTTCTGTTATTGACATCCATTTGTAATCCTTCAGTGTTGCTCCAGTGGTGTTCCCATCTTTTGACTGGAGAAAGCCCAACTTTCTGAGGGAAGGATGGAAGGAAAAGGAATGCTCCCATGTGTTACTGTCCCCAGCCGTACTCTGATCTTTGAGGGGTGATTTAACGTATGCAATGACCTGTCATTGTTCGCCATTGCAACACTACAATCCTTGGGCATATTCCAGCCAGATTTTTCCTATATCCATATAAGTGATAAGTTTACTCAGGAAGATGTGGCTGCTGATAACTCAACCAGACTGTATTTTTCCTTCCCAGGTGGCTTCCTCCGGAGTATTGAGGAAAGATTAAATATACGGTCTCGGTGAAAAGCTGATCCAAAACATTTCAGTGTATTTTGGGATGGAGATGAATTAAATAAATTATCTTGACCATGAAAACTGCTGCCGAATAAGCAACCTTTCCAAGCTATAGCTTACCTGCATTATTCAAGGTGTCATAAAGAAAGAGGATGCCTTTATCTTGATGATTTCACCTTGGAGGAGCAGTGAATCCCTCAAAACAGATTTCCTTTTTTCTTACCATGTTCCTTTTATTTATTTTACTTATTACTTCTTGTTCTTTTTTATAACACTGTTTATTCTGAAAGGCAGCACCATGCAACAACAGGGGTTGTACCTATATGTGTTTCAGGGACTTTCTAAAAATATGTTTTCTCAGCTCTTAGACTCTGGAGTTGACTATATACCAAACTGTGTGCCCTATTCTTTAGCTACGTTTTTTTTTTTTATCACTAGGCTAAAGTTTACTGGAAGTAGGAGTGGAGTTTGTACACATGTAATATTTCAAGCAAGAGACCCACCAGTGGTCAGCCACCACTTCTCTCTCCAGGGCATTTACCCTTCAGTGCATTCTCATTAGTTGTCACATTTAAAGTAGGCACCCCACATCTGATGGCATCACAATGAACATCCTTCCTTAAAGTTGAGATTTCAAGATCACTTCTTACTCTCGGCAAGAGCAGAAACAGTTCTTTTTATTGAGATTTACAGAAAGAGAAAGGCGTGGATGAAAGCATAACCGTATCCCAGCACCTTTATGCTTTGTTGACTTCCAAGGTACAAACAGGTTGCCACAAATCCCGCATCACGGGTGTGAACTGTATGGCAGATATGGTACGTATCAATAGTGTCACTTCGGACACTGTTGTGTAAATAAATTTAACAGAATGATATGCTTGCATGTAGGAATCGCCGTACAAGTGTAACAAACACTAAATAACCCAAGAGGAATGCAAGGACAGGAGGACACTGTTTCACAACTGTCCCCCTGGCCACTAGGGGGGCGCATACAATCCCATCATCGAAACCATCCCATCCATCCTTAAAAGCTTTCAGACATTTTTCTGTTGCTTGGGGGAAGGGGATGAACGGGAAGGTTCCTCAAAGGACTGATTCTGCCCATCGAATCACCCTCTGAACTTTGCTCCAGAAGATACACACAAACGAAACAAACCGCATAAAGTACTTGGAACTAAGCACATGCTTTTCTGTTTTAATAAACACATTGCAACAAATCAGACTTACTCCGAAGAAAGGTGTGGACATATATCCCAAAGTCCAGGAAGGGGCAGTAAGTCATCACATAGTGGTCAGTTGGATAAAGTTCTGAATGGATTCAGTAGTCCCCACCACCACCACCACCACACCTACTGGCGTATACAATATCTTCTTTTCCCATCTCTACGTGCCTCTTCTTTCTCTTTTATTGTTTCTGTATCACTTCATGTCTTTTTACAATCATACTATCCAAGTTAAGATGGCGCCTATCCTTGCCGTCATCTCTTGGGAGAGTAAATGGAACAAAGGTCTCTGCCTAATAAATCTTCCTAACCTCAGTATAAATAAGAAACATTTTTAAAAAATGTAATAGATAAAGGTCTCAAAATCGCCACAAAGGGTCCGAGAGGTTGGGGCATGCTTTGTCCAGTGCATGTTCTTCATCAAGCCACAGCCAGAGGCCCCTTCTGCACCATGCTGTATAGGAGGCCACAGATCAGCTATTCACCCAGGTGCAGCTTTTAAATGCTGCGTGTCTCTTGAGGTCTCTCCACCACTGGAGCAGGCTAAGCTGGACTTGGTTTTAAAATGGGAAAAAACAAACGGAGTCCATGTTGTGTTTGCTGAAATGCTTAGAAAATATACCCTTCTCTCCACTCCTGATGGTGCTCCACACACTTATTTCTTATGAAGAAATTTCATTCTGCTACCTAGAGTGGATTAATGGTGGGGAAGGAAAGAAAAAAATATTTATGGAAAGAAAAAGACTACTTCTTTACCTGCAGGGAAGCAAAAAAACTACCTTTGAGTCACCAACCTTCCCATGTGAGAGGAAGGTGGAATCTCTGGGGAGCTGAGGCCAAACAGCAGAGGTCTAAGCTCTGCAATTTTTCAGGATGCCTTGATGGGAAATTGCAAAATGAAACCTCCTGCAATTGCAGAAATTATTCCCTGAGAATTTTGGACTGTTTTAGAAATGTCATGAGACAGAAGATAGAGGTGATTTTATAAAGATTATTAAACTTAATATGTTCCCATCAAATTATGTGCAAAGTATCCTTTCTTACTAAGCAGGGATGTGATGGGACAGGAAGTATTTTGGAAGATAAGAAGCAAACGTTTACTATAGTTAATATTGGAAGACGTTTCAGGTTAAAATGCTTTTTTATGTGACATTATCTAAAACGGGTCCCCAATCTGTTAGGAACCAGGCCGCACAAGCAAGCAAAGCTTCATCACATGCGTGGGATCTAGGTAGCATGGGAAACCATCCCCCACATCCCCAGTCCATGGAAAAATTGTTTTCCCCAGAACTGGTCCATGGTGGTCAAAAGGTTGGGGACCGCTGATGTACAACATTGGGAACAGGTGCACAATTGTGTGCACCTGGTAAAGTAAATATGATCATTGCAGCAGCTGCACTTGCTTGGATTCCTTACCTAATCCTTTCAAGAATTTATTAACTCCGCTCTGTTCTTCACTGGGAAGGGTCTCCAGATATTCCTGGGCGCGTACCTCAAACAAACCTAGAGAGATCAAGAACAATTACAATAACAAAAAAAGACTAACCACTAAGTTTTTTTTTTTTTTGTTTTGTTTCAGTTGCTACTACCAATTGGGGAACATTACTATGCTTAAAAAAGCAAAGCAGAAATCTACAAAAGTAAGGCTGTACTTAGATCCACCAAGTATCAGGAATCCATTGTAACTCAGTAGGACAATTCATGCTTTGTAGATTAAAGGTCTCAGTTCTATCCCGGGCATCTCCTAAAAGGATTGGAAAGTGCTATTCCAACATCCTGGAGAACTACTACCGGTATCAGGGATGATAAAGCTAAGGAGAGAGAGCAATAATATGACTTAGTGTAAAGAATCTGCTGGATTCTTTGCACTATCCTCTTGTCAAGAGGAACACCTCACCTTTGGCTCCCTGTTTTCGTAATTCTCGTTCTTGAATGAAGCCTCCAAACATCTGAGTCTCCATAAAAACTTCCAGGAATCTCCGAAGGCTCTTTGAAGAAACGGACTTCCGGAAAGCTTCCCGCTGGAGCGTCTTTTCTTCCTTCTCAGCAGGAATCATAAAAAGAGAGTAGTGTCCTACAATCTCCACAAAGAAACGGACAAAAGCTTCTGACACCACTTCATTCAAAGGGCTGGCTTCTGAGGGGACATTGTAGGGAAATTGAGGAAAGAATGAAACAAAGTCAGAAGAAAAAAATATACTGGAGTTTAATGATCTTCCTTAACTGTTTCTGGATAACCTCCAGATCTATTCTTCCACATCAAGGAGGACCGAGCTCTCATGAACAGCAATTCTGCTTTGCATTCAAAAGATTTTTAGTGCTATCTTCAACACAGAATCACAGAACATAAGAGCTAGAAAGGATCGGGAATACCGTATTATCTACTCCAACTCCTGCCCAGAGCAAGTTTCCATTAATACAGCAACCCCAACAAATGGCCATTCAATCTCTGTTTAAACGCCCCTAGACAGCCATACAGAATCTGCCATCTTTTATTATAAAACAATTATTAAGATATTGTAAAGATATTTTTTGCTCCTATCTTATAACTCATTATAACTTAAAGCCATCACTTCCTAGTCCATATTCTGGAACTATGAGCAGTACTGTCTTGACTTCTACATGACGGACTTTCAAATACTTGAAAACAACTAATGTGTCTTCCTGTATTCTTCTCTAGGTTAAATAGAGTCATGCCTCTGACCATTCCTCAAATATTTTGCCCTTCCAGGAACCTTGCTGTCTCAATAGCTCTATTTTGGACACCCTCCAATTTGTGAATGATCTAAGCTAAGGTGCCAGAACTGGATGGGATATCCCAGGTTGACCTGACCAAAGCAGAACACAAAAGATAATGATAATCATCCTTTCTTGAAAATATGGAGAGACAGTGCTAGTAAGCATACCAGGAGTAGGTAGCCTGCAACTCAGATGTTGCTTAAGTATCCCAAATCCTTCATAATTTGTCACAATGTTTGAGGTTGCTGCAAGCTGAAATTCAGGAACATTTGGCCCACACCCAAATACCCAATTAAATGTGCCTTAAATGTTACTTCACATAGTTTAAGGCAGTTGTATTCATGTAACATCAACCATGTTGTTAATCTATTTTTGCCATCTCCTTCACAACTACCAGAAGGTCCTCCAAAAGGTTAACCTCCAGAATTATCAACATTCCAATCAGAACTGGTATTCAGCAGGTTCTGACCAGTTCTGGAGAACCGGTATAGCGGAAATTTTGAGTCGCTCGGGGAACCAGCAAACACCACCTCTGACTGGAGATTTTACAGTATCCTTCCCCTGCCATGCCCACCAAGCCACACCCACAGAACCGGTGGTAAAAAAAATTGGATCCCACCACTGATTCCAATGGGGAAAAGTGGAGCAACTAAATGAAAACTAGCATTCTTCAGTCTTTTCAGTTTGTAAAGAAAAAGATAACTGAAAACAGGAGAATTATGCCTGCTATAGAGAAACTGAAGGTTTTTTTCCCCCTTCTCCGATAATGCTCAGAATTGCACAATGACTGTAGACTCAGACAGATGATTATGCTTCTTCACATAATACATGTAGCTTACACAACCAAAGGTTAAGAATATGGTGGGAACAAAGGTACATAGACAAAGTAATCATCTCTCCTTATTGGTCTCCCTCATAGAGCTTCTGATCTATAATATTTTGCGAGGGTGTCTTAAGCATAAAACTGTGGAAAGCTGTACTAAATACAAATGTCCTGAACTTATAAACAATCATTGTCAAAAAAAAAAAACCTACTAAGTGTTAAATTAAAAACAAAACAAAACCGAACCCTGTTTGCCATTGAGTGTGATTTCCTCCTTGTCATTTGCCAGTTCATTTCTCTGTTCCAGGATGTGTTCAAGCGCTCCTTGCAACTTCCGGGGCAAAATGGAATCTTCATCTTCCATCTAAAAAGAAAAGCATGCATTCAAAAAGCTTGCATGAAATCCGATCCTGCATGCAGGGAAACCAATCCGACAATCTACTTTTTTGTAAAAGGCCATACATATTTCACACACTCAAAGCTGTTTGGGCTTTAGACAGACTGAGGAAAAAATAATACAATATTTTTGGAGATTGATCTGTTTGATCCTTCATAGGCATCTGCAAAATCCCCACTTTCTATTAAATGTCTTTCCCCCTTGTGAATACGGTCAAGTTAAAAGGATAGGCATTAAATGGCATTTGGCTCCTATGAATGCTGAAGGATAGAATTATAATAGATTCCATCTTGGGCCATGGCTTCCATATAATTAGCGCCAGACTCAACCCTGAGGATAGAAATAGCTTCTAATTGGTCAGATCCTAATGCTACCAAGGGGTAAATCACTGAGAAAATATTCCACCCTTTCTCCTTATCTGGTTTCCTTTTGTCAGGAAAAAGGAGCAATAGGACACACAGGAAAATTGCCAATGAAAGACATCGCAGCAAACACCTGGAGTTGCAAACTACCCTTGCAATTTTCCATTGGCAATTATAACACAGAATTATATCTCTTTTTCTGATATCCTGAGCAGGGCTTTTGGTGGCCCCTGTTCTTCACTAAGAGTGTGTGTGTGTGTGTGTGTGTACATACAACTCAATGGAAAACATATCAATACTTCTTCGTCCTATTTTCCCCATAACCACCACTATGTGAGGTGAGTTTGGCTGAGAGAGAGTGACTGGCCCAAAATCACCCAGCTAGCTTTCATACCTGGATCTAAAAATACTTCTTTTTCAATGTACCACATGAGCATAGCTAACCAGCACATGCCATGCACATCCCAATTCACACCACTTCTTGGATATAAACCATGAAAGCTAGGCAAGATGGTTGACCAGTTGACATCATCCAATATTGACCTATTTTACAGGAGGGCCAGCTTCATGAAAGAGTAGAGCTGAGAAAAAATGCCATCTGGAGGATAGCAACTTAATTAGCAAGTGGGGTGAGCTATTTTATATTTCCCACAATGCCCTAGGATACACCACATTCTAAAGAATTATAGGTAAGTTCAAAAACTAACTTCCAGCGTACAGTTGGCAAAAAGTTCATACAGAACCAGAATATTCAACACTGCTAGGGGCTTTGGAGGTTATCTGAAGTTGTTCCGGCTGATTCTGATGTGGAATTTTCTTTGTCTATTTTATAACTTTTATTTCTGAATTATTTTCCTGGGTTTCTAATACTACACTTACTGATCCAAAAAGAAAAGGAGAACACTCTTGAAAATATTCTCAAAGTACATGAATTCTGGCTGGAAGAGTAGACATGTAGTCAATCTTTCTTTCTCTCTCAAAGCCAAAGGTCACCATTTCAAATTATTTTCCTTTCTATACTTTCATTGGCAGCCAGTAACTCTGGCAGGCTTTAGGATGGTTTGAAGCTTCTGAAACTGCTGATCAGAAGAGACATCAGGATAAGACAATGTGCATGAAGACTGGGAAAAGCAATGCCACTTGTAAATTCTCAGCTTCTGATGGCTATTGTTTCTAATCTAGATTTCCCATGACTCTCTTCAGATCTTTCTTTGAATTAAGAAAGACAGGCTGTATCCAGTATCAGATGGCCTTCAGCAAGATTTCCCCATCCTTCCATTCCCCCTGAACAAATTAAAAAGAAAAAGAAAAGATTGAAAAATAAGTTATGCTTACCTGTCTAAGGAACCGGTTATTAACAAGGTCAACCACAAGGACCTGGCCACCAATAAATAGACATAAAAAAAGAGAGAGAGAGAACATTAGAGCAGAACAACTCTCTAGAAGTCTTGTATACAGAACTCAAAATCCCTCAAAAATTGTTAAGTAAAGTGTAATTCTAGGTGGGAGAAAAGGAAATTCTTGAAGAATTCCCTTAAGTATCTTACAAGTAAATAGAAGGGAAATTGAATTTACATTTTTGTCCCAATGCAACATTCCCAATGCACCCGTTAAAGGACACCTTCAGCATTATTTTTCTGCACTCCAGGGATAGAGGGAAGAAGTAGACTGGTGTTCTTGAGGAAAGGATTGTCTGCTTTGCAGCTTTCAGGAGAAAAAGGCTGCATCTCATCAATTTAATCCCATGAGCCACAAAAAGGTATGAAACCCAGTTTGATCACAGGGTGGTTTTATGAATTTCACCACAAAACCACAGTCTGACAACTGAAACACATGGAAGCTGCTCTTCCCTTCTCTCTCTCCCTCTCCCTCCCTCCCTCCCTCCCACACAGAGAGGGAGAGGGGGGAGGGGAAGAGAGAGAGGAGAGCATGGGGGGGGATATTTCTCTCAGGAATTTTCCCTGCCTGAGCTGCCACACAACAGACAGCAGCAACGGGCTGGATTAAAATGAGAGATAGCTGCTTGCATTTAAATGATAGAAGCATAGGACTGTCAATGTGTGTTTAATTTGGTTATTTGTTTTAAAAATGGATCTGCTGCTTCTCAAAGCAATCCCCACCCAAAGGCATCTCATGTAAACATTTTCAAAACAACACCGAAAAAATCTACATTTCACCTTAGAACAAGAAGATAAAGCAAGTCTAAATATGGGCATTAAAAAAAAAAACAGCTTCATATAACCTTTAAAACCCCCTAGATTAAAAAAAAAAAAGACCAAAAGGGCTGGGAAAACAGAGAAGGCAGGCATTAGGGTAACTTCTTAAAGAAATAATTTCTACATATGTACCCCGATTTACTGTAGCCCAACCACTGCGCTCTATTTACTTCTGTAGGCAACTTTAATACATGTTTTAAATCAGTGTTTTTCAAACTTGGCAATGTTATGATGTGCAGATTTCAACTCCAAAATTCCCCAGCCAGTGTACTGGGAATTTGGGGAGTTGAGGTCACATCTTAACAATGTCAAGTTTGAAAAGCGTTGCTTTAAAAAGGTCTCCCTCTTTCCAGCTGAAAACACGCACCCCGCAAAGATTAGTATGCGGCTAGCAGTGGTGGGTTTCAAAAAGTTTTCCTACTGGTTCGGTGTGAGTGCATGCTTTGCGCATGCGCAGCGTTGGCACCTCACCTTCTGCTGCAAGCCCTGTGTGTAAAACAGCTGACGCGTGGCAATCCGCTGTGCCGTGTGAAGCAGCGGAGGTTGAAAAGCAGGAAATAAAGGTGAGTATAGAGCTGGGACAGGTGGGAGGGCCCAGCAGCCGATTGTGGGAGTGAACTGGTTCAACACAGATGATTGTTGGAGCTACCAGTTAGGCCGAACCGGGCCGAACCAGTAGAACACCACCACTGGTGGCTAGTAAGGTACTGAAATATCCCATATTGGACTTCCTGCATGCAACTTAAAAGCCAAATTGAGGTTTAACACAACCATCGGCTCTTCTGATCTCACCTCTTCAACTGGCAACTCCTTGAGGCGGGGCAAGGAACTGGAGAGCAGGCCAATCAAAAAGGGGGTTGGTGAGCAGACAATGTCAATCATTGAAGGGGGAAGTACTGGGATGTAAGTGTGCTGCCAGGTAAAGGGGTAAAGAAGGGCCACTGTGGCATGGCAGCATTTGGACAAGGTACTAGAAGAAGAAGAAAAATGAAAGAAGCAATCAAGATTCCTTGATTCCAATCAAGCATTTAAAATCATTTAAAATCATTTAAAATCATAAACACAACTGGCTTTCCGACAATATAAAGTCTAATCCAAAAACTGACTTGTAAAAATCTAGTCTGTTTATTGTGTTTATACTACAGTATTCTAGGTGGCTTGTTAAACAGTTTTTTTAGGGGGGAAAAAAAGCAAAATCATTTTCATTCACAGTAGCATACATACATACATATTCAATTTTTTAAAATTGCAAATTGTTTTTAAAATGCTTTTTCTTTGAAAGTAATATTTCTCTTAGGGACACTTTTGAAACATTCATCACTCCGATGTTTTTTAAAAATTAGCTTTCAAAATAATTGCATGCTAAAAGTTTTTTGCACACTAGTATCCACCCCTTTTTGGATCATAGAAAGAGACAATGCCGGCAGCTTTTGTTCAGTGCTAGTGTCTGCACTCTCATGAATGCTTCTAGGAATAGAAGGCCCAACAGAACCCTGGAATTCCATTGCATCCATAAAACACACCTGATTAATTTAATCAGAAGTAGCTGAGTTCTTCCAGCAACCTACAGTGCAGACAAGATAATTTCTCAAAATAACATCCTGGGGTTCACATCTCAGTTTTAGGCCCATTTTCCCCCTGAGTACAAGGATTCCTGGAAATAGAGCATTAAGTAAATGCTCAGTTTTCACACTGTTGCTTTTTACACGTGGCAAGGCATGGAGCTGTCCCAAATTCCTAATACTTCTTCCTGCCAGCTAATGGAATTGCTATCAAAACCGAGCCTGCATTTCTGCTGAAATCAGCCATTTGTGGGAAGTTGGCATAAACAAAAAAAATCCCATGGAACCCTCTGACGTACATACAACTGGGAGCATTTTGGTATTAAAAAAAAAACAACATTGTGGGATCAGCTTCAAAGCCCATCTAGTTAACTTCTGAATCATAGTGGCATGAGGCCAAAATGTACATGAGCAGGATCTTCTTCTCTTGCCACTCCTTAGAAGCTGTTCTCTCTCTCTGCCTGCCTGCCTGCCTGCCCGCCCCCCCTCTCTCTCTCTCACACACACACACAAACACACTTTTGATTCTGGAGTCAGAATCCAGTCATCTAAACCAATAGCCACTGACAACCAGCTCTTCCACTGATCTACCACAACCCATCATTTTTCCAAATTGCCCGGATTCTAAAACACCAAGATTGTGCCAATACAAATTCTTCCTGTTGATCAAATTGAAATACTGCTAATCAAAGGGGAATATAAGGAAAAGCATGGACTGTACAGCAAAGTTATAGAAACAGGAGCTGAAGATAAGATAAGATAAGAGATAAGATAAATTTATTGTCATTGTACTCAGAACCTGAGAACAACGAAATAAGGTGCTCTTTCACAACATACAACTGAACAACACCCAAAGACATATACAAATAACAATGCATTTTAACAATGCAAATAACAATGCAAGTCCAATGCATTTTAAATATATCTGGTTGAGAACAGTTGGCATAAAAAGAACTTTGCTGTTTCTATTTGGCAAAATTCATCAGTGTGCAATTAAATAATGGAGCCTTGATGATGATGATGACGATGATTTTCATGATTTTAAAAGAATCTTGTCAGCTGTCTTGTACTTTGAAAAAAATGCATTCAGAAAAATGAATAAATAGACAGGCAGAGAACTAATGCCATCATGGCAGGCTTTCTAGATATGTTTGGATGCAGTTTGGATATGGGTGACATGCAGCCTATGCTCAAATAGAGCCCCCAGGTTAGGAGAGACTTTGGGTCTTTCAGATTTTAGGAAAGGAACAGCCAGAAAACTGTCTTTATGCAAAAGGAGAGTATGTGGTAATGCTATTTTCATAATCAAAACCAACAGTTTTAAAACCCCACCCTCCAAGATAGGCAAGAGGACAAGCCACTCATCACTGTGGGCTCGAAATCTTCTAGAGCATCTGGAAGCTGCATATGTAACTCAAAGAGAGCCATAACCTCATTTGGTTTTTAAGCCAGGTCTTGAATGGACGGAGACGGGAGGAAGAGAAGGAGGAGGGAGATATACTGTGCTGCCTAAAGGAATCATATGGCCAGGAAACCACTTACAGCTGGCTTGAGTTAAGGACCATTAGAGAATGTATGCTGAGCAGGAGGGAAAAGGGGAAGGCTTGGTGAAGGAAGAATATTCCACGCCTGACAACAATTTTTGCAGCTATGTGAGGGAAAACGAAAGAAAAGGAGGAGGAGGAAGAGGAGGAGGACCGAAGCGCTATGCAGCAATTCTGGCTCACTAAGAATCTAAACAAACAAACAAACAAATAAATAAATAAAAATAAAATAAAATATAAAATAAAATAAAACAATTAATAAAGTTTCTATCCCTCATGGTTATAAAAACTAAAATTTATATGGGATGTGTAGTGTTGAATTCTAAACTTATTCCCCCCCCCCCCCGTCCTTATCTTTCTGGTCTTAACTACACAGAAATGAACATCAGTTATTCTCCATTCCAGAAACCTGCCACCAAAACAGCAAGTCTAACTTGCTTTATCACTCATGTAAATTGTTCATCTAATAATATTTATTTATTAAATTTCCATGCTGCAGTACTACTATTTTACACTTTTGGTTCTCTTGGGATCCTGCCACTGCAAGCTTTCAGAAGCTTGTTAAATATCTTATTTTTAAAATAACAAAAACTAAAAACTTTCAAATAATCCAATAAAAGATTAAATATCACAGCTGTATTAAAGCAATTATTTCAAATTGTTTTGTGGGATATATCCCCATCCAAGTTTATATATACGGTATAATTAATTAAAATATGGAATGACATTAAAACAAAACCACCAAACCCTAAACAAGCTGCTGGCTTCTCTTTGTAAATGACAGTAAAAATTTGTCATTTTCACTCCAGGAAAAAATAAATTCTAAAAAAGAAAAGAAAGAAAATAGAAAGGCATTTTGGCTTCCAGAGTTCTTTTGAATTACCAATTATTGGATTCTTCCTATCTCAATGATAAGCTTTGTGCAAAAGAGTTGAGCGGTTCAAATTAATGTAATAGTTTGGTTTTTTTTTAATGGAAACATGCACATCCAAGTTTTTTTTAGCTGACAAGATCAATTACTAGCGTTATTATGGGAAAGTGGGGGGGAGGGAGGAAGAAATAAGTTTTTTTCCCCTTTCCACTCTCAAGGTTCATAACAACAGAAAGGATTTTGAGAAGGGAAAGAAAAATAACTAGATATGCACTTTCTGCACGTAGCTTAAATTGGCATCTTTGTTCAGTTGTAGATGAGCTGTTAAAACTTTTTTTTCCTATTCTGCATGCCTTTTAAATAACTTCAAATGTATTTTCTTTGCTTCAAGGGAACTTTTTCCTATTGTTTTGCTTTGGTTGGTATCCTAGGTTTTCACATTGTTTTAAAGTTTTCTATTGTGAAGTTGCCTATAAAATGATCTTATTTGGATCAAAAGGCAACTCAGTAATTTATTTATGAATACATGTGCTTATTAAACCTGGTTTGGGCTTTGTTCAAAAATGCTTCACAACACGTACACTCAAGACTGGCCAAAGCCTCTTCCTTTCACAGAAAGCTACAGAAAGATGGAAGAAACCACATGTACCAAAACTGGCTCAAGACATTTTTCCAAAGTCAATGTTCTCCTTTCCATACTACCCCTCCCTTATAGTTAAAATAAACAACCAATAGAATTGGTTGCCAATTGAAAAGATCCTAAATCCACTACCCCAAATGTAAGCTCACTCCTGAGATGCCTAAAGTATATGTAGTTAGTAAATAGTTCTCTCAGTGAGCAAGTTAGACCTATATGAATATGACCGGCTGGAATAAGACTGTGATAAACCCAAACTCTCCTAAGTTTTTTAAAATCAGCATGCACACATTAAATACCTTCTGTTGAATGACTTGAAACATTCCAAACCATTGAACAATCTCAAACAGCTGCTTCAGGTCTGGTTTTTAACAAAGAAAGTGAGGGAAGAGGGAAACCAAATGAGAAACTACACAGACATTAAATCTCCCTTCAGAAACATAAAATAATCCCCATTTTCCCAAGCGAACTTTATTGTTTATGTATTATACTTGAGGATTTCTCCTTCAGTCCAATTCCAAAACTGTGTAGCATAATACCATTTCACATTTATAAAAGAAGATGAAAATAATACAAAATGCAGAGAAAGGATCCCTATGGCAAGTAGAACCTCTTTTATGATGATTCTGGAGTTATCCTACACTTTCTAAGGATGACCGCAGTTGCCAAATACGATACAGTCAAAGGAAAAAAAGATGAAAAATGCAGAGTGACAGGTTGCAAGAGAAAATGATTTCTCCACCCACTTAATAAAACATGTTTCCGACAAACTAAAGTAGTGACTATGATATCATCACTTGGTTCATATCCAAGTAATAATGATCTGTATAATGGATGATGCGATTTGTATATACAGTATCAGAGTAAACATCTCCTCTTCTGAATTCCAGCTGGAACATGCAAATCTCCATGGCTCTATGAATATAACTCATCCTTTGATTGGCCTTCCAGTTTTTGCTTAAACTTCTCAATGTAGTAAGCTTAACAAAGCTTAATTTGTCAGAAGAAAAACTTGCAATAGAAATATTTCGATTCCAGCACAGAACATATTTTTAAATCTTTCACATGTTAAAAATCAAACATTCCAGTAAGAGAATTTGAGCATATTTTCAAATTTTAGAATCACATACATTAAGATTGAACTTTAATATTCTCCCTAAATAAATAAAATCAAGTTCAGGCCTCAAGTGTACATGTTTTCTTGGAATCACAGAAATAATAATTCCATGGCTGTTAGTTTTCGTGATTGTGCCAAATGTTACACCTATTACTCAAGATCAAGAAAATCCACACAATTACTCTAACTAAAGCTGTATATACTTTACTTGTGTATATTTATTCATTTAAGCCAGGGCTGTCAAACTCCAGGCCTGTGGGCTGGATGCGCTGGCCATGCCTACGTCCATTTTAGTGAAGGGAAAAAAAATTCCGATATGTCACGTGATGCTACCGTGATGACGTGAGTTTGACACTCCGATGTAAGCAAAGTAACTTTTTTTAGCTAGAATGCTGCTGTTTTCACAAACTGAATAATCAAAGTAGCACATTTTCAACTTGCCTTTTAAAGCAGCTCTAACTTTTTTTTTGAGTTCACAAAAAAACTTGTGAAAAAAAGCGGGAGCTCTATTGCAGAGAGTTACAATACTTGCGGGAGGTTTAAAGTACTTCCTTCAAATTGTTTTTGAAGTATATATAAAACCCAGATTCTAAACACATTATTTACAATTTTGCAAACACTTCTACTATTTTCTAATCTTAAGAAACTTAAAAGCAGGGTAACCTGATACCTTTTAGGTATTTGGAACTTCAGCTCCCACAAACTTGACTAAACAGGCAGCCCTTAATTTACAATCAAAATGTCTGTTGCTAAGCAAGACACTTGTTACGTGAATTTGCCCCATTTTATGACCTTTCTTGCCACAGTTATTAAGTAAATTGCTGCAGTTAAGGTTGCAAAAGGTGATCACATGGTCTTGGGGCACTGTAACCATCATAAATATGAGTTAGTTGCATAGTGTCTGAATTTTGATTATGTGACCATGGGGATGTTGCAATGGTCAACACTGAAAAATGGGCATAAGTCACTTTTTTTCAGTACTGCTGTAACTTTGAATGGTCATTAAACGAACTGTTGTAAATCAAGGATTATCTATACTTTTCCACTAGCTAAGAGTTAAAATCCAAAATATCTAGAAGGCAGCAGACTACCTGTCCTCCTATAATTGACTTATAATAGAGATAGTTTATAATAAAAAATATTAAGACTTCAATTCACATTCAATGCAACAGATCTACTATATCCATTTGGTCTGTTCTTGTCTATTTTAAGAAACAACAACACAATGAATGAATGATTTCCCTCCCCCCCTTTTTAGGGGCACCATTCTTTCTCCTAGTCCTGTAGATGCAGCGGGACTTACTGGGAATTGTGAAAACAGGCAGGCTGCTGAAAGTTGAATAAGAATCATTACTCATCTGTTAAATTTTGCCTTTTCTCGTTGGGAGGGGAAAACTTGCTCTCCTCATCCTCCAACTTTTAAAAAATGGATGAGGGCCAGGCACCAGCTGCAGAAAATCTTAAAGAGATCTGGGCCCCCTTTTTCCCAAGGTGTGGGAGGAAGAAGTTTTTGTCCAAATAATTGGTGAGTGAATAACAAAGCCTATCTATTCAGGGGGATCAGAAGGTTTGCAAACTGCCTGCTCACAGAAGAACCCGAAACCTTATAGGCATAAGGACAAAGCACATGGCATAGGTCTGGCATTAAGGGGTATGCAAATATATAGGTACCCTGAGGCTTCGAGGCTAATAGATTTTGGTTGACAAAATGCTGTTAGCCTTCCTAACCCTTTTAACTTTGCCATTTAAGCTTATTAAGGGCCCCAAAACCACCTAAACCTTTGCTTATTTTCACTCAAAGCCCATTGTGAGCATATTTTAATTATTGCAGTGGATATAAGGCTACTAGTAACTAGGAAATTACAGTAAAGGTAGGGAGAGAATACTTATGTGTTCTGTATAGCCATGCAGATTATGTACAACTGACTGGGAACGAATCAAGAATCTGGTTATCTTTGAAGGGCTGAAAACTACAATAATTAGGCTTTAGAACAGAGAATTTTGATTTTGTTTTTTTAAAAAAGTGAAAGCTACTTTCTGCTTATTAACAGATTTCAGTACCATTTATATGTGTTTACTGCTTCAAAATGATGAGAACCCACTTTGAAATAGGGCAGAACACGTAAAACATACACTCAAGTACTTTTAAAGTTACAAATACTTAAGTCACACAAATCCTTAGAACAAAAAAGATGGAAGAGCAATCCTGCAAACACTTCCGTTTAGCTGTTCAGCAGCTGCATCATCTTTATGAACTTTAAAAGTTCAAAATGATATCCATTCCAATGTAAACAACTTAATATAGAAACACTCCTGTTCATCTTAAGTCCTTTTGTTATAAATAATATTAAACCATACATTTTAACACTACCTGGACATGCATTCATCGTGAGTTCCCAAGAGCAACATTTTCCTCCAAATGAACCCAGTAGTATAATCAGATAAAATTAAGACATGGACTTCATGATTTTATGGTACAGGACATGCGGTGTATCTGACTTTAGAAAGCCATGCCTTTTTGTTTATTCATCCAGGCAAAAGAGCAAGCATCTATAACAACATCTAGGTCATAGCTAGAAGTTTTTAACCATGAAACAGAAAGAACACGGAGGCGCAGCTGCTTTTGTTGTCTCCATCCTCTGATATATTCTGCTATTCATATGGGCCTTTTTTTGAGTTATTCAGCTCTGGAGTTCATCCACAAAGGCCAGCTATCATTACGTCTTGCACAAATTTGTCCCCAGGAATCTAGACTGACTGAAGCAGCCACTCCTCACTGTCCCAAAGCGATATCCATAGCTGGAGATCAACCAAGATGAGCCAGACACTCCTATTATTAAGGGATAACTGCATTTTTTTTACATGGAAAGCATTAACTTTTGAAGCCAACTTCAGTGGAAGCCAAGAAAGGAGAAATATACATCACAGATGTCTCAGCTCCAGAACTGTAATTGTGCAGAAGATACATTTCTGCCTTTTGAACCTAGGAAAAGAGACACAGCCACTACTCTAGGATTTAGGCAGCCGTTGAAAACTGGCTTTAAGGACAGATAGGTTGCATAATAGTTTGTCCACCAGGTAAGGCAGAGAAATAGAAGGTAGATAGTTACCTGAGTTTGTCTGCTATAAATATCACCCGTCTCTCCAACAGCAAGGAAGCAAAGACTCTGCTTAAGTGCCGGATGCTAAGCGAGGAGAACAAGGACTCAAAATCAACATGTTCAAGTCTTGAATCAAGTGGTCGACACAGCTCTATAACCTGAAACAAATAATGCAGGAGATGTGCAAGATGTAAAATCAACTCAAAGTCAGTTCTGACCTGAGCAACCTATAAGCCCTATTATTAAATGTGTAAATAGGGAGACTAAGACTCTGAGAAAACCAATTGCAGGCTTTTCAGACCAATGGGCCACATTTGGAAATTTGTTTTGTAAATTCGCCTTATTGAAAAGCCTCTCCCTCATTTCATCTCTATGTTGAAATCTTCTCCCAGGAAGGTTACAAATGTGCTGATTCCTAATTATGATCGCTACATCCTCCAGTGAATGTCTCCTGCCCATTTACCTTGCCTTTTTTCCTCTGTACAATCAGACTTGAAAGAAAAACACTATTTTCAATTTTTAAATGTGTCTGCAAGATTCAATTTGCTATGCAGCAAGCCTTCGTTCTTTTCTGGAAAAAAAAATCTGCAGAAATCAGTTAATCGAAGGACTCAAAGGAAAACATATACATGGGAACTTGCAAGCACGCAAGTTTAGCTGCTTTATCTACTTCCGAAGGGTGGATCGATCTAGATCGGTGGCTTTTGTCCTCGAATTCCCTAGCCAAACCTTACTTCTGTTCCAGAACCAGGCAGAAAGTTCTTGATGGAGATAGTCCGACCCAGGGCTGGAAAAGGGGCTTCCATGACACTCCTCATGAGTGGCTGGACCAAGGCAGGAGAGATGCCACGTCTTTTCTCAACCTCATCCAAGATCTGAAGGACAGAGAAGGGAGAAATAGAAGGGAAAAGACCATACTTCAGGGACCTACTCTTTTTGCTCCTCTTGCTCCTCTTTCATTGTTGTCATATCATTGTTTGATGCCACACACAAAAAATCAAGCATCAGAATCCCATTTTCATGGAACAGTTACTGGCGGGAAGGGTCCCTCTTTCATTTAGATGCCTAGTGCTGTTGTTGTGTTACTGCTGCTTCTTCAAGTTAAGTGGATAGATGGCAGGTAGGTATGGGAAAGACAATAGTACGCGTTTCTGTCCAGAAAATGTACCCTCGGGCAATATGTCCCCTTCCCAAACTGCTATTTGAAACTTATTTAGCTATCTAAGGGAAGTAACGAGCAGGTCTGGGAGCCATTTTAAAAATTGGAAATTGTACAAATAAAAAATGAGGAGATTATGATCTCCATCTCTCAGACAATACTTTTCTGATCCAAACTGCCTCTCTTCTCTAGGTCAGGAGTCTCCAACCTTGACAACTTTAAACCTGGCGGACTTCAACTCCCAGAATTCCTCAGCCAGCTGGCTGGGGAATTCTGGAAGTTGAAGTCCGCCAGGCTTAAAGTTGCCAAGGTTGGAGACCCCTGCTCTAAGTGACTATTTTCTTTCTTTCTTTTTTTTCTTTTTTAAATTTAATTTTTATTGCATTTTCCACCAATACAAACCATATTCACAGTTTCCACAGCAGTTTGACATCTACACACATTATTATTTTATAGTTTCTACAATGTTTTACACATATCAACCAATAACTGTTATCCCTATGCATAATAATTTATCTATTTGTACTGTATATTTACATATCTACGCACTATTCTTTTAAGGACTTGTCTAGTTAATCTTTACCTTGTTTCTTAGCTCTATTTTCTAACCATTCGTACCATTTATGCCAAATCGAATAATAATTGGAATCCTCCTTTTCTTTCATTTTTAGGGTAAGCATGTCCATTTCCGCACATTCTATAATTTTTTGTAGGACTAAGTTTTCTGTTGGAATAGTAGGTCTTTTCCACATTTGTGTGCATACACTATCCTGGCTGCTATCAGTATATGTAAAATAATGTATTTTATCTTTTTGGGATAGTGATTTCCAATTATTCCAAATAAGAAGAGTTCTGGTTTGGGTTCTTTCTTTTTTAAAAAAAAACAAACAAACCAAAACCAAACACGGAAGGAAATCCTAATCACGTATCTCTTGTAGTATTTACTTTTCTGTGGCAAAAGAAGAAAAATGCATTTAACATGCTCCAAAGCAGAAACAACTGGCCCTTTTTAAAAGCACTTGGGTGATATTCTTATCTGACAACAGCAAACAACTGTACTGAATTGTCACTCGGGGCCAGGCTTTTCACCCTTGGTTTGAGTCAAACTTCCAGTGGTCAGTATGGACCGGAACTGGCCAGGGAAGGATTTCCTTCCTCCCCCGTCCCTACTCACTTTGGGGACCGTTTGCATGGTCCTTCTCCCTTACCTTCGAGAAGAGGCTGAAACACCCCAAGCGGCTCACAATGCAGTAAACTTCCGGAAGACGTTTCCCTTTCCCACTGGGCTTTCAAGAGAGACAGACACAACACAGATATACATAAACGGACAGTGATGAACAAGAAGAAACCAAAATCACGGTTAACTTTCCATTCCACGCACAAAGCAGTTCTTCCACTCTAACGTATTACCACAGATAGTCCTCAATTTAGGACCACAATTGAGCCCAAAATTTCAATTGCTGCCATTGTTAAGTGAGTCATGCCTCATTTTATGACTTTTTAAAACTACAGTGCTTAAGTGAATCACTACAGTTGTTAAATGAATCTGGCTTCCCCCACTAACTTTGATTATCCAAAGCCAACTGGAAATGTTACAAATGGCGATCATACGACCCCTGGGATAGTGCATTAACTACAGGCCAAATGCCAAGCAACCAAATTTTGATCACATGACCATAGATATGCTACAACAGTCATAAGTATGAAAAACCATCATAAGTCACTCTTTTGAGTGCTGTTGTAACTTCGAACCATCACTAAACGAGTGCTTACAAGTCAAGGACTATCTGTACCGGGGTGTCAAACTTGCGTCATTATGACATCGTCATGTGACGCATCGCGACTTTTGCCCTCTTTGCTAAACTGGGCATGGCCAGCGTGTGACGCATCTGGCCTGCGGGCCGCGAGTTTGACAGCCCTAATCTGTACACTTCTGAGGCACCTATTTCCTGACTTAGTTATTATCCTTTTGTGCTAGATTGTTTCCCATAATCCTAATCCAAGGCCAATTTCTCTAAAAAGCAACAAATTCCAAAAGATTGACTAAGTTACAAAATAAAATACTGCATTAAAACAAAAACACCATTATTTTTCTTGCTACATGATTTCAGATATTCCATAACAGCAACGCGAAAGAGAAGAAAGCTTGGATTTGGCTACAAAAAGAAAATTATGATTCAGCAACAATAGCCACAAAGTGTGGGTCAAAGCCTTTTCTTCCCTCGCTACAAAGGAGGCCTGTGAGACCATCCTTCTTGATTTCTGAAGACGAAACTAGATAGTTACCAGTATTCTTCTGCAGTATCCGAATCTTCGGCTGCCATCTTCACTCGTCAAGACAAATGAAAATGTCTCACTGAAAAAGAGAAAGTTTTAAAGATACTTTTTTCAATGAAAAGGTCATCTTCAGTTCTAGAAAATACGCATATAGATATTAAAAAGAACGTATGTATTTTTTTAAGTATACATACATCTTTTTCTTTTTTACAAGCCTAAATAGAACAATATAAATTTCTGTGCTGCCCCTATACTTCACAACAAACATGCAGGATATATATGCTATCAGCCTAATTAAGATCTCGAATAGTTGAGATGAAGGAAAATAATCGTCATTCATTCATCCCTTTGTTTCTTCTAAATAGGATCAAGATAATTACATGGCCCTCTATTTGTAAATGGGCATATTTGCCTTTTCCTACTAGCACTTAGTCACAGCATAAAATTGCCCTGACAACATTATTTTTCTGTCGTTTCACTATGTTATTTATTAAATTTTGATACTGCCCATCTCTGTTTTGGGCATCTCTAGCTGGCTGCTTTTGCTTCCATCTCATTTCCAGGCCATGAATGAGACCAGATTAAGTTGTCCTTATCTGTACCAATGCCAAGCACCCAAATTTTGATCCATGGCCACAGGGCTGCCGCAACAGCCATTACTGCTGCAACAGCCATTACTTTGGGAACTGGGTGTAAGTACCATTTCTGCAGTGCTGCTGTAACTCTGAATGGCCACTTAACGAACCCAGATTTGGGGTGGTGATGGCCAGATGTATTTGTTTTTAAAACTCATACCTTTAAAGTATTTTGGATAACTATATATTAAACACACTTTATGGTATATTTGTATACCCTTGCCTTCTTTTTAGAGCTGAGACATAGTGACTATCCCCAAAACACCTAGCTGGCTTCTGGGCCTAACGTAGGATTAGAACTCATGGTCTCCTGGTTTCTCACTCAATTCCTTTAACCTCTGAACCACTATTCCTTTGTTGGTGGTCATGTGTGCTTTCAAATCAATCTTGACCGCTGGCAACTACATGAACAAGTCCATGCAATTTTCTTGGCAACGTTTAGTTATATGTATGCAATTATAATTATTTAATACTCTAGTTCATTGTACAGATTATAAATAAGGACTACTTTAAAATTACAACTGCTAATTTTGTGGCTAATTCTGTAGCTTTCATGTTCCACCTTGCTTCGGTCAGAGACCAAATAAGAATTGATTGGATGACTGAACAAATGCATTGATTCCCTAAATATTTCCAACCACTAGTTTCGTGTTTATTCTTCAGTTGTTCCTGCTGAAGTCAAAATTGATTTCGACTGTTATCATAAAAAGCAATCTGGTACAAATAAAAGCTAGCATGATGCGTAATGGCAGGTTAGGAGCTGGCAAGAAGGGGAAGAAAGGGGGCCATCCTTCAACGTGCCTGCTAAACTGAGAAACAGGAGTCCAGTCTTTTGCATCAGGGAAGCAAAACTGCGGAATGGCCTTCAGCTGGTCCTCTGCCTCCCTCATGAATTTGAAGGAGCGTTCAAGCTAGCAGAAGAAAGGGAGGAGGAGATGTTTTTAATTATTTAGGTAGAAGTAAAATTGCATGAATTTTTCCCCCTCCCCTCTCCATCTACCTTGCTTCCTTAAATAAATGGAGAAGTGATGACAGAGAATACACATCCGCCTGGAGCAGGGGTGTCAAACTCGATTTCATTGAGGGCTGCTTCAGGGTTGTGCTTGACCTTGGGGGTGGGGGGGGTGCATGGCCAGGATGGGTGTGGCCAGCTCGACAACACTTGTGTCGGCGCCTGTGGTGGCCCGAGCGCCCTGCCAGCGAAAACACGCTCTCGTGCTCTGTTTCAGCTACAATGGCCTCCTGGAACCCTCTGCCAGCGAAAATGGAGCTCAAGAGGGCTGCATGCAGCTCTCCCAAGCTCCATTTTCATTGGCAGAGGCACTGAGAGCTGGTCCTTTGCTGTTTCCAGGGTGGCCCCACGGGCCAGATCTAAGCAGCCTGCAGGCAGGATCCGGCCCCCGGGTATTGAGTCTGACACCACTGGTCTGGAGGGTATTAACATAGCTAGCTCACCTGATCTTTTTCTAACAAATGTACATGTATGTCACTCAGCCCACCAGCCTCCCTCTCCTCTCCCTCCCATTTACAATGAAATCTTGAGAATTCCCTTATCTTGCAGATTTCCTCTATCTTTTAGCTACTTATTACACCAATGCTGATGCCCTTATTTTTAGAATTTCACCCTGTTGAGGGTTATCAACAGACAAAAGCAAATTGTCTCAGATCTGGTAGGGATTGAGCAATATAAAGCCATAGGCTGCATACAGTTCCCAGGGATTGTTCTGATTACAACTGCTTAAATCAGCAGCACAGATCTGCATCAGCCTCAGGAAAGAGACATAAAACCTGTAATTGAAATCCAAAAATAGACTCAGCATTGCTTTAAGAAAGTAGACAGCAAACAAACTTCACCTTAAAACATAGGGATAAATTGGAAAGTTGTAGCCCATTCACTTGCTTCACTGCCCTGTCTTCGGTGACTATCACTCTCCCTAAAAATGTTGTGGAGCCTTGGCTGCCCACCTCTGGGTAGGTCAACCTCCCTAATTATCCAGATGTGCGGAGTTTCAACTTCTAGAATTTTAAGCCAACAGAGCAGAGCAATCCTTCCTTTGCTTGTCTCTGAATAGGCTATCTCCATCGTATGTCCTACCTTTAATGGAAACTGCTGTGTAACTTCAGGGACATATGGCACGCAAGCTTGTTTCTTGTGTAATGACACTACAACAAAATATTCAAAGAGCTGCCTCTCTTGATACTCGATCAGATCTCTCTCCAAGGTGTGATACTTGGGGGCTTGCTTCAGGCGAGATTTTACATGAACAAGGCGTTGACTGTGAGCTACATAAAAGGTAAGCCAACAAAATCAACACAACTGTTTTGGGTGCAGTTCCCCCAGCAATAAGCAGTTCTGTCTTACTTCAAACTACATATTCACCGTGAACTCATCCAGCCTTTCTTAACCTGGTCATCCTCCAGATGTGTGAACATCAACATGAAGCATTCCCAAGGAAGGACCTTGTAGGATGATAATCGTAAGTGCTAAAATCCACCCAACTGAAGGGCACCAAAGTTCAGAAAGGTCAACCTAAATATCCTGGAATTACGTTGTGTTTGTAACCAGGACATCAAAACATTCTGAAATATTATGGAGAAAAAAATCAAGATAAAAATGCCGTGTTGTTAGTTGGTGGATATGACAAATTTTTTTTTGTAGAAAATGAGAAGGGAGAGCACATAGCCCAAGGGTTGGAAATCTGCTGATCATCTTGAAATGGCCAGACTTGAACAACCTTCAGTACAAAGAACACAGGCTAGAAAATAAGTGATATGTTCTAGAGTGATAACATATATCAATTATTAAATATAAGGATTTCAAACTTCACCAACTGATTGCAATTGCAGTCCATTCACACAATTGAAACACTTTAACACAGAGCCTTATTTTTATCTATAAAATCTATAGTCCTAAACACATTCACTTGAGCATTTTCCCTAAGCTGGAACTTATGTTTGGACTACAAATCCCAGAATTCCCAGCTACCATGGGTACTGGCTAAACTGACTGGGAATTGTAGGAATTGTGGTCTGACATCATCTGAAATGCTCCAGGTCTGGAAAAGCTGTATTAGGATATAAAACTCATTAAATATTGACTTCTAAGTACACATTTTAAGAATTGGGTTGTATGTTGGATAATGAACTTTTTTTAGGGATATGAATGTTCATGTAGCCATCATAACAGACAAACAATCGATAATTCACTTTTGCAATAATTGAAGGCCTCTACAGGCATAAAACATATCCTGTTATTTTGGGCAGGAAAAAAAAAAACTAGAAGGGGGAAAACCCACAACTGTCAAGCCAAAAATCAATAATCTTCTCTAAAGTTCATATCTCAATTGATACCTCTTTGTTTTTCTTCTGTATCACTGTCTGATTCACTGTTTTCATCTGTAACTAGGAGGAAATAGAAAAGAATGGTAAACATCACTTTAAAAAAAATAATTATTATTGTTTTCTGAATAGCAAACAAAATCTTGAATGGCTCATGGAATCAGTTCTCACAAGTTCTCTTATCCCCCCCAAAATATAGGATGCCTGGTTGGGGTGGCCAGAAGATAAGTTAGGGACTACTAAGAAATTTCTAGAACACTGCAGTAAATAATTCAGATTTTTGTTTACTGGGAGCAACTCCAAACATCACCAAAATTAAGTTGCGTAAATGGAGAAAGATCGGAAAATGGAGGGAGGAATCTTGTACAAAAGGACAATGAGCTCAGTTCCTAACTGAAAGATGCTCAGGGAGCATCCAAAAAGCTATGTTTTTTTGCACCTTGCTTTGGTGAATGAATGATGGATCCTATTGTAAAAGACCAAATAGAACAGTTAAGTCTGACAACTGAAATATACCATTTAATAGTACTAGGATATAAGGTGAATAGTACTAAATAGCTATAGCACTTAGACTTATATACCGCTTCATAGTGCTTTACAGTTCTCTCTAAGTGGTTTACAGAGTCAGCATATTGACCCCAACAATCTGGATCCTCATTTTACTGACTTTGAAAGGATGGAAGGATGAGCCAGTGAGACTCGAACTGCAAACTCCTGGCAGCTGGCAGTCAGCACAAGTAGCCTGCAGTACTGCATTCTGACCACTGCACCACCACTAATATAGAAAAGAGGCAACTGAGGCAGAAGCATCATGTCCTTTATAACTGGTTATTATTAAGGAAATCCCTTTAATATTGGACAATACTGAGTAGGCACAAAAGCTGCCTGCAAAACCATTGGTCCAGCAACAGTCTTTCCTTACCTCTCCCTGAGCTAGACTCTGTAGATTGTGACAGTCTCTTGACTCGTTTCTTCCCTCTTCGAGCCTCATAAATGGCATTGATTTTTAACACCAGCTGCTTAACGTAAAGAAGAAAAAGTAAATGCTTTCATCTTTCCACAAATCCAGTTTCTTTTTTAAATGATGCCCACATCATTTTATCTACCAAGGCAATTTACAGGTAGTCCTCAACATATAAAACTAGAGACTAAGGAAGTTGATGTTGATAGACAAACTCTGTCACCAAGGTGACAAGGAATAAAACTTTTCCCTAAGTCTGAAATGTTTAGATAATATTCAGAAGCATCTTAGACAGATGCCTTCCTAATTCACTAGAGTACAGCTAGTCCTCAACTTACAACCACAATTGAGCCCAAAATTTCTGTTGCTAAGTGAAACATTTAAGTGAATTTTGCCCCATTTTTTATAGGAAAAGAAAGCCTTGTTTCTCACCATATAACCTTCAGATGATGATTAATGTTACTGTTTATTAATTTTAATCATTTACTATCTACATCAAGGGTCTTCATACTTGACAAGTTTAAGACTTGTGGACTTCAACTCCCAGAATTCCTGAGCTAACATGACTGGAGGAGGAATTCTGGGAGTTGAAATCCATAAGTCTTAAAGTTGTCAAGTTTAAAGATCCCTGATCTACATAGCTCAATTTTGGAGGGTAATGTATATACCATATGTTTTGCTCCATAAGACACACAACCCACCCACCTCCCTAAAAAAGTGGGTGGAAATGTCTGTGCGTCGGTGCCAGTCCTTTGGTGAATAGCAGCTGGGCTGCGGTGGCAGGGTCATTTTACAGTGCTGAACCCCGCCTCTTCTGTCTTTGTCATTGCCCGCCTCTTCTGTCTCTTACACAGTGCAGGAGTCAATAGGCAGAGCTGGCACATGAGAGGACACCTATCTGTGGTCCTCTCAGGCTCCGCCTGATATATTTTTTCTTGTTTCCCTCTTCTAAACCTAGGTGTGCCATATGGTCAGGTGCGTCTTATGGTGTGAAAAATATGGTACTTACTTTTAAAAGGGCTCACCTATCAAGATTCAGATAATTTTCAGGACCGCAAACATGAAATTAATACTTAATTCCCTAGACAAGACTTAAAATAGCAATTTTTGAACACTGCTTCTAATCTTTCACAGTCCTAAATCAGCCAAAAAAAAAATATCTTTAAAGAAAAAAATACCTTGGAAATTTTTCTTCTTTTCTTGCCATTTTGAGAATCACCCAAGGAGAAGAAAGTATCATCAGGACTGCTAGGAGTGGAAGGGGGGCTGATTTTGGAAGGAGAGTAAGTTCCATCCCGGTTTGGTTTCCGTATGTCTAACAGTTTGAAACTTCTGCGTTCTGAGTTCTGCCTAAAGAAGATGGGCTTAGAGAGGACCTAAGGAGACAGACCACAATGGGGGAAATGGGGAACATCAGACACTACATTTCTCTACAATTAAAAACATTCAAAATAAGAAGCATTAAAACATTAGTTGCAAGAATTCTTGGCTTTAATTAAAAAGGTTTAACACTTGCTTAGACTATTTTTCACAGGATTCTCTAGCAGGTCAATAGGAAAAAATGATATATTTTCCACAAGTGTGCTAAGAAGTCTCATTAGCATGACAGAAACAGCTCTTACTGCTCGCACAACTAGCTTTCAGGAGCTCTATGGAACTGAGCCAACAAAACTAACCAGTGAAGCAACCACAGACACTTGGATTGGAAAAATAAGGAGCTGTTGTACCACATCAGACCCAGATGTTTACATGGTCCAATAGTCTGTCAGCCAATACTCATCACCAGTGGCTTCAGAAGCAAGTTTAAGCAACCATACAATTGCATATTTATGGACCGTGCATTCCCTGACCCTGTTATTTAGTTAGTGATTTTATCCAGTAGAACAACAGAATGGTCTGGCACTTGTTCATGAGCTTCTTAGGACACAGTAGGTCAAATCTTAGCTTTGGGCACAAGAACACCAATTTCAAATTCTGGCTCCTGGAAAAGCTGAAATAAAGTTGCGAGAGCATAAAGCAAAATCAACTCCAGGTATTGATTGCAACTACAGCAATTGTAAACTTTCTTTTTTAATTCTCAAAAGACCAACATGCTAAAATAAGTTCACTGTTGAATGACATTCTTCTCTCTTCAATGAGCAGTAGTAGAAAACTTATTAAGTGCTAACTATATAACGAATCAGATTACTAATTTGCTGGTTCCTGTTTGATTTTTTTAACAGAATGCAAGCAATAAATAAAACCCTTTCCCCATCTTTGTGAGATATAAAAAAAATCTCCTTGTAATGACCCAGTTGTAGTTCTAGATGCTTTTTAAAAATAAATCCGAGTTATGAGCTCTGATGTTACCTAGTTTGTGTAATGAAACATCTGCAAGAAAACAACCAAACTCAGAGAGCACCAAAGGCCCCTCAGACCACATTCTCATTCTGTTAATGGCATTAAAAAGAAAGTGGAAAGCACAAGTGTTCCCACAAAGGCATGACATTCAATTGAAATGGATAAAATGTTTAAGATATAAATGATTGTCAATATTAATAATTAGAAGATGGTATATTAGCAAACCTTTTGTGAAATGAGATTTGAAGTAGAAGGAGGAGGAACATTTCAATGAAATATTGAGCTATAATATGTGATGTGGGGGGGGGGGAATAATTTTGAAAAATAGGGCTCTCATAAAAGCATGTGATTTAATTGAAAAGTAATGAGTTAAATATCTAAGATATGAATGAATATCAATATTAATGAATAGATTTGTATTATTTTTGATAATATAGTATAATTTTAGAATGTACCAGACAGAATCCCAATGTAGGTTATGTATTTTATATTAAGTACTATAAATATAGGGGAAAAAGACAAAGGCATCATACTCCATATAGTGTATAGGAGAAGTACTTCTTCTTTTTTTTTTAAAGAAGAAAAATAAATGATTGGCTGGAATAGAACAGACAAAGAATAATAAATATTACGATATGAATTGAGAGGAGATAAAAAAATAAAAATGAAATAAAATTGAGAAAATTTAAAGGAGAGGAGAAGTTATATAGAAAATTGAAAATGCTAAGAAGATATGAAATGGTATGTAAAATGAATATGAAATTCAATTTGTGTCTGTACCAAGAGTTTTAACCCGGGACTAAGCAACTTTCAGAAAAGAGATTTTTTATACTTTTATGTTTTGTGTTTATGTGTATTTATGTATTGTTTGTCTTGAAAAATAAAACTTGTTTAAAAAAAAAGAAAGAAAGAAAGTGGCATGTATTAAGGTAGGAAACAATAAAAAAAATAATCCCCCATCACTTGGAAGATAAATATCAGCTCCCAGATACACTGAATCTTATCTCCAGACTAAATATCAAAAGTACAGTTTGCAGCTGCCACAATGAACTCCCTCCACAAATTCCCTCTCTGCACAAAACTCCCCTATACATCCCAAAAGACTAATATTTTTCCTGATTCATTCCTATATTATCTGGAGAACAATTAGGGATTAGTAGTCAGTAGTAACACCAGAGTGTTCTGTCTCTATACAGCAACTTAACCTATTAACACCTAAAAATTCTAAATAGGTTATCAAATACATATATATGCAGAGTCCTGCATAAATATTTGCAAGAACATTTCTGTTTAAATGCACAATTCTTCATTAATGGTGCCCCTTGTACTTTCCATATTAATCAACATTCTCTGTCTTTTGCTCTATTGATGGCCAGTCATCTTATTTTTATGTAGGAAATTTCAACTTCTGTTCTAACTTCATTCTTACCTTTCCTCCACTACCTCGAATATGAATAATGGTGGTAGTGAACAGGATAGTATTTTTCCTACCACCAAGTACTGAAAATCCCTGAAACTCTTCAAAGAACGGAGGTGTGAAATTCTGGGGCACACAAGCCATATGCTTACCTCCCAGTAATCCAAGATGCAGGTCCCAAAATGTGAAGGAAAAATCAGGATTTCCAAAAGTGGCTTGAGTTTTAACTGGAAACAGAAGAATTGCTCTCAATTCTTCTCATAAATAGCCTAAAATTTCACACTAAAATCCAGCTGTTCAACCATCATATTTTGATGTCCTGCTTCGTCACCTGAAGCAGGCAAGCGGTTTTAAAGTTGAGAATGGGTTGGCTGCCCAGCTGTCTCCCTATTCTCAGTCTTAATCTCCATAAAAAGCAGTGGTGGGATTAACATTTTTTTTACTACCAGTTCTGTGGGCGCGGCTTAGTAGGCGTGGTAGGGGAAGGGTACTGTAAAATCTCCATTCCCATCCCACTCTAGGGGAAGGATACTGTAAAATCCACATTCCCTTCCCACACCTGGGGAAAGGTTACTGCAAAATCCCATTCCCTCCCCACCCCACTAACCTTCTTTCCAGCTCCGTTCTCCTGTGCAGGGCAACAAAAGAAGACCCAGCTGACTAGCTGGGACTCAGGAGGCAGAGAATAGATGGGGGCGGGGCCAGTCAGAGGTGGTATTTGCTGGTTCTCTGAACTACTCAAAATTTCCGCTACCAGTTCTCCAGAACTGGTCAGAACCTGCTGAATACCACCTCTGATTAAAAAAAGATTGAGAAATGAATCCCACATCTTCTTATGAGGTCAACAGGTTAACAGGCTGCAAGACTGAGTTCTGGCCCCTGACTTTGCCCATACATAATTCAACAAGATCCCAGCCAAACCTCAGCAGCTCCTGTTCTTTCCAAATTTCCACTTGCCAGCCAGCCCTAGAAAAGTGGCATATGGTCTTACAGAATTTCTTTATGGTTTCGAATTGGCAAGAACTATCAACAAATGTCTACAGCAAGAATACGTCCAGAGTGTCCTATTTCTAAGTCCAGAAATCCATCGTGATTCAGAAAGCTTAGTTTTATTACTTTAAAGTCACCAAATTCAGTTAGCAGAAAAATAATCAACTTCCTTAGGGAGTTAATCCAAGATGGGAAACCAAGCTGAACAAAGGATTAGTCATTTTCTTCCCTGAAGGTATCAATTTTCTGACCACTGTATCTCCATAATAACCATCAAAATGTATAGCTTGGGGGCACTGACTGTTCAGATTAGACCAGGTTACCTTTGCGGGTGTGCCAGGAATAGAAGTAGGAGATGCTGGAAAGTTCAGGCCACATTTCTTCCCTAGGCAATGACTATTTGTCTCGATATCTTCATAGGGGTTTTCTTTTGCTGGTAAATCTGGAATTGAAAACCAAGGCAATAAATGCACATAAAACAAAATACAACTTTTTCCTAAGGATTTGGAAATGACATTTGTGGATGCCATTGAATGAATGAGGTTCCATATCATTCATAAACTACCACCGGCATATATAAGAGTCCTCAACTTACAATTACAATTGAGCCCAAAACTTTTGTTGCTAAGCGAGGCAGTTAAGTGAATTTTCCCTATTTTATGACCTTTCTTGCCACAGTTGTTAAGTGAATCACTTAGTAACACTGTTGTTGAGTGAATTCGGCTTTCCCATTGATTTAGCTTGTCAAAAGGTGGCAAAAGGTGAACACATGACCTCAGAACACTGCAACCGTCATAACTATGAGTTAGTTGCCAAGCGTCTGAATTTTGATCATGTAACAATGAGGAAACTGCAATGGTCATGTGAAAAAATGCTCATAAGTCACTTTTTTTAGTGCCATTGTAACTTTGAATGGTCACTAAACAAACTATTGTAAATCTAGGACTACCTGTATGCTGAACTATAAATTCAACCCTATGATCTGCAAATCAATCTATTTAAGTTGTATCAGGATTGGAATGATTGACTAATGCATTTATTAGACTTCCTCTTCCTCTAGGAGCTAAAAGCAGTGTACATAACAATTGGATGAAAAAAGTCAGTCACCCCTGGTTAATTATATGTTTCCATACATCCCTAAGTCATGTTGTGGTTAGCCGGCAGCAGGTGCAGACGGCTGAGGAGAGCGAGGACTCAGATGAGGGGCCAGGACGCTGCCTTCAGAGATTGTGAGGGCTGGCAGCAGCGATGAGGAGGTTCCTAAGGAGCCTGTGTCAAGTACGTGTGCGCGCAGGATTGCTCGCAGAAAAGAGCAGCTGCAATAGCACGGGTGACTTGGGAGTAAGGCTGCAAGGTAATGGCCCCTCCTTCAAGAAGATAAAAGCCAGCCATGAAGCAAACGTTCTTTGCAGGAAGCAAAGATGTTTTGAAATTCAGCATCATGGACATTACAGTATCTTAAGTTGGTATTTGAAGACTCTTGTGTTGTGAAATATTTCTTATCTGTGATTCTTGGCAGTCTCACACAGTTTTGATGAGGTTTGTGCTTATCAAAGTTAATTAGTTTGCAGCAGCCTTTTAACCGGGGATTCGTAAGACTCATTAAAAGATTTCTGTTTCCTTTGGTTATTGTTTGTTTTATTGGAAAAGGGTTTGGGTCAGAACAAGTCAAAACAATCTCCACATAATACAAATGTGAAGGATATGTTAGTAGTTAGTTGAATTCTTTCTTCTTTCCATCAACACAGTATTTCCTGTGCCACTGTTATCACCCAATCCCCAAACATAATCAGACCACCTCTATGCTTAACAGCTGGCAAAGTATTCTTTTTGTCTGAAAACGATTGTGTGGTTTTTGTTGCACCAGTCTAAAAGTACTTTGTTCCCAAACATTTCAGACTTATCAAGGCTTTCTTTAATTTTTTAGACAAACCTGAACTCAGAGACAACAGTTTCCTTCTGAGAATGCTTTTGTGCAGGTACTTGTTATATAAGCAACACTGCATTGGGCACCTGAAGAGCTATTCCAGGATCACCTAATCTTTTCAGCAAGTTATTTGATCTGTGGATTCCGTTTTGCAGCTGTGACCATTTCCTGATATTTTGTTCTTTTGTGGTCTTCCATAATGTGCCTTGACTTCCATATATGTTCCATTCCTCGACACTATTTCCCCCAAGTAAAATCACTAACTGGAAGCATGTACAGATTTTTAGCACCTTCTCATGCTTTGTAAAAGTGAATTCTCTTCATTTTCAAATAGATATTCAGATGGCTACTTAGGGGAGCCTAAGGTGGTTGAAGGTCACAATCTGAGTGTTAGAACAATCAGGTTATTTGTTCACTTGTGGAATTGTTTCCACCTGCAGACTTAAGGAGGCATATCTCTGTGGACCTTACTGATAACTGTACATTAAAAAAGTAACAATAATTCAACCAGAAAGCTATTCAAACTTTTATACTACATTCATTACAGTATTTTCTTATTCTGAATGTGTAAACAGCTGCATCTAACAAATGTGTATCCATTCAACTTCTCAGAAAATTGGCTTTAATGCTATACCATGAGAAAGCAATGTCAGCTTCTATTCACTGAGAGAAACACAAAAAAATACAAAGGGCAAGGCTGTTGAAACCTGAGCTACAAAACTCCCTCTTCCAATGTTATCCACCTCCCCCCCCCCCCCACCCCCGCCACCCCAAAAAAGAAAATCTCTGAGGAACATTAGGCTAAAAGAGAATTGACTGGTCTAAAATGAACTTTTAAACCAGGATCCAACAATTGTTCTTTGTTCATTTTTTTAAAAAGAGTGATGATCATACCTGAGCATCAATAGCCAATGCTAACATCATGACTGGATGGCATGAGGGGAAAAAGAAAGGAAAATTGAAGGATAGCTTTGGAAGAAAAGGTTAAAAATAAATTGCTGGAGTATGTTGAAAGTAGGAGTGTGCTGAAGGTGTGTTCTAAGCTGGAAATGTACAACTTCTCATAGGTACAATCGAACAAAGAAGTTAGATAATGCTATTTGTTTATTTTGGACTTTACTGCTACAAGCAAATCAGCCTATTCCAACTTATTCATCAAAGAATATTTTTTTTAAAAATCTCTATTTAATATTATGAGAATCAGTAAAATGTGTGTCTTGCCTATTGATTTTCACATTTTATTCTATGTTGGATTGTGGCTATTACTTTAGTTTAAGGTGAGTATTAACAATTTTTTTAGAACTAATTAATTACTACATATTAGCAAAATGATGGATCACATTTGGATCAGGTTTTACTCAAGGAAGCAACATACATATACATGCTAATGTCTGCCTTGCTTTGACATATATAAACAACACTGAAATAATGTATTTTGTCCTTTTCTCATATTAGCTTGTGTTGGTTTCATCTACAGTTTTCTATTGACTTGCCATGGTTACATTTCTGTCATGCACTGTATATAATTCCTACAAATACATTCCATAAAAATCCGTTCTAACCTCAAAAATTATGTCTATACATGCACCAAGGAGATGTTACTTTAAACATGGAAACTAGCAACTCCCAGCTTTCCGGATGCCGAATTCTGATCAAACCAAATAGCATGGCAACACTCAGGTTTGCAGAAATTAAGAATTCAACATTACCAGGAAAACTGTTGGTTGCCCATCCTTATCCTTACAGAGAATTATTGTAATTTCTACCTCTTATCTTCTAGGAAACTATTCCATACTACTCCATATCAAAACCTTTGGTTTGAAAAACGCCACATACACTTGGCGCTAAATATTCACACATCTACAGAACAACTTACAAGCACTGAGGTCACAATAGTTGCTTTTCACCTCCAGAATGCCTACCTAGAATATCTTCATAGACGTTTTCCTCGGATAAAGTGCGAGTTAGAGCCATCTTGCTTTGAGCGTACCAATCCACTCGGCCATTCTCAGAAGAGGACTGCAACAAATCTTCAAATTCATAGGACTTCCTAGGGCATTTATTTAGAAAGAGCAGAAGAGGTGGTGGAGGGAAAAGGTGGATATCTCAAAAGAATACAATAAAGCAAATCACTCTAAGTATTACTGGAGAAAAAAAAATGTGTATTTTTATAGCTTTATGTCACACTAAGCAGCCCTCAAAAAGTTTTGCTTCAGATCTCAAACCTCCCAGGCAATCGGCCTTCCTTTCTCCAACATGTCAAGAGATTCTTACACAGGGCTTTAACTTTGTCTCTGACTATCTGAAAATTTCTGGCTGCTTTTAAGATTCCCTCCCCCACTTTCTCCCCTGTTCTTTAGACTTGGATCAATTCCCAGAATATCTGCATGAATCTACCTTTCATTCCTTCCAAATCCCTCTTCCAAATCTATCTGTTCATGAAATTTTTGGTTCATTCTCTTAGTCCCACTAGCATGATATAAGTAAATTTAATAGAAGTACACCCCCCATTTTATTCAGCAGAATACACAAAAGATTATATTGCCCATTAAGAACAAACCACACTGTAAGAGAAACAGATATAATCCATATATAGCAGTACCTGTGATCTGCGTTAGCCTTAAGCTTTCCGTTCCTCAGCCTTCTACTAATGGCTGACGGGGGAGGCGAGGAAGGCAGAGGAGGGGGTGGAATAGAAGGGAGAGGGGGTAGGAGTCTCTTATTCTGAGCAGGCGGAATCCACCCCTCTTCACCTTCATGTTTGAAAGTCCGCCGAGGCTTAGGAAGCGGATTGATAAAAGGTTTCTTCTCTGGCAAGCCAGGCTCCATGTACACATTTTCTTCATTGCGAGATCTGCATTTCACACGAGATGCTTTCACCTCTTCCAAAGTCCCAAAGATGGGCTCTCTGGCTTCAGTATCCAAGCCAAGAAGCCACTTACTTACTTCTAGGCGGTTGGTACTTTCCTGGCCGTCGGTTGGCTCCTGATCCTCACCGGTCTTCTCTTGCAGACAGTGTGGAGAATAGTAAGTACCTGGTAGCTGGGGTTGGGCTTCAGCTGACCCATACTTCAAGGCTTGTTCCAGCTTCTTGACCTGACTCAAGACAGATAGGTTCTCCTTCTGGACTTCCTTTTTACTGTCCTTCAACTCAGTACATTTACCCACATTGAAATTACATTCTTCCTCCCTTGATTTCACATCAACTTTCCTTGCAACATGCTGCCCAGCATTTTTAAAAGTTCCAACGTGCTTCTCATCCTCCTTACTTGGACCCTTGTAATTTGGGGGCCTCTTATTATCCACTTCTCTCATTGCAACATTATTCCTAGCTGTCTTCTCCATCACACCCAAAACTGGATTGGGTTCCTCTTTAACACTTTGGTCCTCCTCCTTCCACAGGGACACCGGAGATGGAATTTCCTTTTTTCCTTCCCATTCTGAAATCTTGTCCTTGATACTTAAAGGCTTGTTTTTCAAGCTGACTTTCCCAACAGACCGAAGATTCTGACAACCACCTATTTGCTTCCTTAGAATCCTGCCGCTTTCCCGCACTTTGAGATCTACTGAGGGATCTCCAATGATCATCTTGGGACTTAGCATATTCTGCTGAAAACAGTCCAGTCTGGGATCCAGCATCAATTTCTCTATGGTTTTCAGTGGCCTCTCTGCTACGGAATCTAGTTCTGGTTTTGGCAGTAGCTTGGGTGGGAAGGCAAAACTCTTCGACCAATTATGCTTTGAAAGCCCACTCCAAAATTCTGTTTTTGCAGCTGGATTATTTAGACTTGCAAACCTGATCCCAGGCAAAAAGGGCAAAGGTCAGAAGAATTGTACAGGTTGGCATTCATCGTTCAGTACAATGTCATGAGCTGGATTTAATATTTAGTTGAATATTAAATGTATAACACTTTAACTTAAAAGATACAGGAGTGCAGAATTATTAAACAGTTTTTTTCTGCAATTTTTTTACTGTCTTCCCACTAATCTAAACATATCTGCTAAGAGGAGTGCTTTTCTATCTTTTCAATAAAACATTAACATCTAGCACACCTCATTTATTTACCAGTGTCCAGTAACACCTTAAAGCAAAACGCATTTTTCTTGCATAAATCCATTTGTTTGAGCATACCAAAGCTTATGCCAAAATAAATACATTTCTCATTTGTTGACATAAAACTATTTGGTATTTTCCCCACTTTTCTGTATTAGCAGATTAACCTGAATGCGTCTGGAAAATATTCAAAATCCCTCTTTTCTTAAAAGCCATCCTAGATAAGTGTCATGCCCCTGTTGGAATCTGATTCCGAGGGGGAGGTTGAACAGCTGACAGGGAGTGGGAATTGTGGTTCCAGTGGCTGTGGAGGAAACTTGGGGAAGGGCACAATCCAGCTGGGCATTCAGAGTAAGACCCAGGCCCACCCCCTCTTTATCCTAGGGCACGCAGGGAGGAACGGATAAGGAAGCAACATGGATTACGGGGGAGAAAAAGGCCCTGATTCCCTTCTTTAGCTGCAGCTGGGAAAATTGGATATAAAAGGTATTTGCGCACAGCACCTTGCTGGAAGCAAAGTGTGCATTATCTTTGTTTGCCAAGTCTTATCTAGGTTCTGGCGTCCTCCCAACTGTGTATGTTTCGTTATCTTTTGAAGTCTGCAATTCCTTATCCTGCCTTGTCTCGTTAATTGCTGCAGCGTGGTTTGTGTTGGTTTTTATTTATAATTTATATGTACTATGGGGTCAGACTGAATTTCTTCCCTTTAAAAACAGTTCTTGGGAGAGCTTTTTCTCCAGCTGATGATAACCGGACATTCCAAGTTGGAAGAATTAAAAGGACTTCAGCTACTTTTGTGACTTTGTTGTTTTGTGACATGCCCTGGATCATCACAGTAAGATCCTAGTTTTGAGGTCCTAGATGGGTTATCCATATTAAGAAAATATTTGTATGGACACTACTCATGTCTTTACTCAAATGTATATTTAAGCTAGACTGAAAACCTTTCTACTTAACAGTTATTATCTGAAGCTAAACTAATGATATGCAGCTCCAGAGATGAATACAGTTCTGAGAGTCTATGGAGATTCTCAGTTGTCCAGGTCATGGTTGTCCCAAAGGTGCTTTTTTTCAAGAGGCAACAGGACTTTGTTTTTCTTTGAAGACGTTTTACTTCTCATCCAAGAAGCTTCTTCAGCCACCATCCAATCAGAGCTTCTTGGATGAGAAGCGAAAAATTTTCAAAGAAAAACCCAGAAAGTCCAGTTACCTCTTGAAAAAAGCATATTTGGTACAGTGCTTAGAATTTCTTAAAATCTTATCCTCAAGTTAATATGATATTGGAAGGAGAGAATATTAAACAGAGGAATTTTAAATTGCAATTGATTACTTATTATTACATTTTTAAGATTTATGTGCTATTCATAGCATACAAAATTATATGCAAAGTGACTATTTTCACAGCTTACAATGTATGGATAAAGGGTTTGTTTCATATCTAAATATAAACAATAAAAGCTGCAGTCAGAGTAACAGAAAAAGATAAATTTAGCACATGTAATTAAAACATATTAATATAACAAAAGGCCTGAGACAGGCATTTGTTTGTCCAGTACTGAAATACTAGGACTTGTATTTCTAGCAAAGCTCCCAAAATCCAGATCAGGCTCTTGGTTCAAAAAGAATATTTATGAATAAATTTGACTGTCTCTTTTAAATTTCCCCTCTTCTCCCCTATTATATGTCCTGGTTAAGCTTCTAAAGCCACGATTAATGACAGTAAAACAGAAATAAATATGGAGATTAGATATTCCGTACCTCCAGAACAATAAAATAAATCCCCCACTAACTGCCTTAGTGAAAGTGAGGCCAACAGAACGCACTTGTAAAGTGCAGGAACCTATTCAATTATCTATGCATGTTTCTGGCAAAGTTTAAAATTTTGCTAAGTATCTTTGAACAACAGGAGGAGGAGGGAGGAAGTAAGTATCCCTTTGACTTAGAACCACAATCAAGCTTGGAACTTTAGTTGTAAGCCATTATGGTCATTAAGTGGGTCATGTGCCCGGACTCAGTTTTATGACCATTTTTACAATGGCTGTACCATGAGTCCCTGCAGGCATTAAGCAAACCACGATAGTTAAAGGGAATCCATTTTCTCAAATGGTCATTTTTCCCCTAGAAAAAAAAACATTATAAGATGCTATCATGTGACCATGTGGTAATATAAATGGTTGCACATGTGAGCCACTTGTCAAGTACCAAAACATGACTACACGACTGCAGGGTGTGTGTGTGTGTGTGTTGTGTCAGTCATAACTTCGAAGAAAGGTTGTAACTAACAGTCAGGGAGTCTGTCGTAACTTCAAACAGTTGTTAAGTGACTAGGCATAAAGCTAGGATTTCCTAAATTCCAGCCTACCCTTCCCTCATTTTGAAATCAGCACAAATAGAATATTAAGAATATTTACCTCTCAATTTTTTTGCAAATAATGATTTCAGGCTTCTTCTCCACATTGGGGATGACACTCCCCGTCATCGTGTTAGCAACTGGCATGTCTGCAGGCCACCTAGGAGGAAATACACAAAACAGTACAAACCTTAAACCTGGGTGCTTTGTCTCGTGATTTGCAGTATGTATGTATATATATTACATATCTATACATTCAGACAATTGTGATATATTCAATAAAATAGGGTGAAAAATAAGATCCCTAAATTCATCCCTCTTCTTCGAAGAGCAGTTTTTGAGATGCTGTAATTATTCAGTAGTTGTTTATGTTGCTTTCTATGAAAACACTTTCCTCCAACTTGGTTTCTCCTGGGTGGTCCACTGTTTCATTCCCATAATCCTTAGTACAATCATATCTGGGGACACAGACTGGAAAAAAGCTGTGTTAATTGAAAGCCAGAGATAGTGATTAGGCTCAGAAGAAACATTAGAAACAGAACTGTTAACTGTCCTGTCGATCATGTAGAAATTGTTTTTAGGAAACGGAATGCCGTTTAAAACAATGACAATAAGACAGCAATCAACAATTGATTAGGACCATGTGATCTTTGAGAGCTTGTTTGTTAAAATCCAGTCTCCCTTCTCCCCATTGCTCTTGAATCCTATTACCCTTCTGGGGAGCATAGGAAAGTTTGCTGCCAATACTGACATAAAGTGGTCCCATTTCAATTATAGTTGTAAAACTATGTTCATAAGTTCAGTCAAACAGATTCTCAGCCTGCACTTTGGGAATTAACAGAAGAGGGTGCTTTGGGAAAAGGGGCACTCAAAGAGATATTGGTACAGGCTGGGTCAGTTGACCCAGAGCCCAACTTGAGCAGGAACCCATAACTCTGTCTGTCCTCTCCCTGAATTATCTGGTTGAACTACTTTACTGTACTCATGGATTTTTCCTCAACCTGTTACGGTAGTAGTTACCTCTCTAGGCTTTGGTTTTTGAAAAATTTAGGTCTTATGCCTTTGTTTTTCTGTATGTTTCAAGCAGAAATTTAATTTGAATTTTATTTATCTAATTTATCTGTCATCCATCTCATGGTTCAAGGTGATTCTTTGAGTCAGTAAATACCTCTAGGTCAGGGGTCCCCAAACTTGGCAACTTTAAGACTTGTGGACTTCAAACCCCAGAATTCTCCCAGCCAGCTATGCTATGCTGAAGCATTCTGGGCATATACAAAGGACTGGGCTACCTACAGTATATTGTCACCCCATAGTTCCATAGGCGGTAGTTGCCCTGTAAGCCAAAGATGCAACTGAACTCAAGACTTCTTTCTAAAAATGCTTGGAAGCGATGACTTGCATCTTGCCAGAATTTCCTCTTTGCAATTTTGACTGCGAACAGGGAATCCAAACAAAATGATGCTTAGAGATCCCATTAAAAGTGTAGGTACTCCTCGCTTACAGATGGTAATCGGGACCAAGGATTCTGTTGCTAAGCAATGTAATCATAAGGCATGATGGCAGTTCTGGTAGTCCCAGCTGCCACTGTTAGATGAATTCTATGTGGTTGCAGCATCCTACAGTAATGTGATCATCATTTGCAACCTCCTGATGGCTTTCCCCATTGGCTTTGTTTATGAGAAAGCAGGGAAAGGTGAAAATGGTGATCACATGACCGCAGGATGTTGTGATGTCATAATTGCAAACCATTCACTAAGAATCTGAATCACAACCATGTGATCATAGGGATGCTGCAAATATGAGGACCTTTTGGTTAGTGATGTGACAACATTCAGTTGCTGAATGAATCACTGTTAAACAAGAACTATCTGGATTTGTTAGAAGGAAAATAAATGCCAAAAACACAACTGTTCCAGCATCAATTGTGACATACAGGCAATTTTAAGGCAGCAATTGTTATTGTCCATTTCTCCCAATTTTTCTCTGCAGAGGGTTGGGCCCTCTCTTCTTTTATATGGAAGGATCAGATTGCATCTATTCACTAACATAATAAATGACATCATATTAATCAGTGTGAAATGTATCTTTGTGGTGTTTTTCTACTTTCCTTACTAAAGAAAATAGAGTCTTTCCAGGCATCCTTTAGGGGGAGGAGATTGTAGACAAGTATGAATGTAAACTTCAGGAAAAAATGCCAGAGTAGCTATTATGAAAAGATTGGATTAGAATAAGAATAAGAATTAGAATAGAATAGAGCTGGAAGGAACCTTGCTCAAGCAGGAGATCCTATACTATTTCAGACAAGTGACTATCCAGTCTCTTCTTAAAAACTTCCCATGATTTCTGGAGGCAAGCTGTTCCACTGGTTAATTGTCCTCGCTGTTCGGAAGTTTCTCCTTAATTCCAGGTTGCTTCTCTCCTTGATCAGTTTCCAATCATTATTTCTTGTCCTGCCCTCTGATGCTTTGGAGAATAATTTGACCCCCTCTTCTTTCCCTCAAATACTGAAATACTGCTATCATGTTGCTCCTAATTCTTCTTTTCTTTAGACTAGCCAGGCCCAAATTCTGCTGTCGTTCTTTGTATGGATTAGCTGAGAAAGAGGTGAGGAAGAACCTCAAGCCTTGCCTTGAGTCTCTTTACTATAAGCAGGAAGGGGATCTTTCAGGCTTTAAAGACTTTATAACAATCGAGGAATGATAATTGTACCAACCTTCCAACACCCATTTATTTTACTCTCCCTGAAGGGCTGCAGAGATGGTTTAGTGAGTAAATCCAAATGTCCATTGAGACAGAGAGCCTAGGAAACTACATCTTTGCAGGACCTTGACAGAATTTCATCTCACTCATGGTTATTAGAAGGATCAGTTACTCTTCGGATAAGTAATTGGAGAGAACATGGGGGAGTTAATTTAGCTCAAACAAGCCCAGACCTTCCTGAAGCTAAATCTAATCTCTCAAGGTTAGATGATTGCCTCAGATAACTTGGTTTTGGAGTCCTGACTCTTGCTTTACCCCTCAGCCCCAAGACCTAGTTAACTATGTTGTATGAATGAACAGGGCCGTAATGTAGTAACAGTCCTTGTTATGAAGTCATGATTTGCTACTCTGAAGAGGCTACATATGTCTTCCTATTTTGTCAATGTTTGGAAAGCTGAACCTGGCAAGAAAACCTATTAAAATACCATCGATTGAAGGAATACTTTCTGTCCAAACAACAATACAATTCATAGCACAGTATCTTTTGCAGACCCAAACGTTGCTCAAAGGATAATTTATTTTGTGTGGATTTTCTGCCTGATTGCTGAAAGTGTGCCATGAATGTCTTTTAGCCACTGGCAGTAGGGACATACTGTTATGTTGAATTGGGAGAAAATGCTGCACTAACTTCTTCTGAAATCTTCTGAAACAAGAGGGCGATTGACAGACTCCAGAGAATACTTTAAAAGACATAATCAAATCAGAGCTGGGAGATCTTTCAACAACTATTGCAACCCCAAGAAACAGCAATCCCACTCTGGCTTCAAAATTTCTCAACAAAGGAAACAACACTATTTCCCAGGATAATCTTTTGCTGCATCTAACAATTCAAACTGTTCAGAACAGCCTTCTCCAATTTAGTGCTGTCCAGATGGGTTGGTATTACCCTCTACAGCCAGGGTACCAAGAAATCATACAAATGGATTCCCAACGTATTTATAGGGCATCATATCTTGAACCTTGTATTTGCAGAAAACATTTCCCAATTCAGCATTATTCTTATTGTCATAAAGTTAACAAAAACAAATCTTTCTCAATGACCTGCAGAAGAGCAAAAATCTGCTCTGCCATCCATCCATCAGCATTTCCAGGAACTTTATACACTGTCACCTCTTCCAGCCTTTCAATTAGAATTTTGGCAGTTTCCCAGATATACTTAGGAAAGCCAATCTCTGGTAATACTTGCATTCACACTTGCTACCTTTCCTTTTGGATAGGAGAACAATAACAGCATTCTTCCAATTGTCAGGCACAGATGCACAATTCACACAAATAATAAAGTCATACAGTTACACCCTTTGTACTCTATTTTACTCGCACAACATTTCCCTGGTATGTCATTTGTACTCCTACAATTTTTCAACATATTCACAATATTTGACTTTTGCATTTGTTCTGGTAGACTGTTACACTTGTAATTTCACTATAATTTCATTTACTTTTTCATTTTCTTTAATGCATACTTTTTTTATCTCAATGATTCACTTTTTCTACCCCAAATAATAGTCCATCTAACATTCAAAACCTCTCATTACACTTGTATCCTATACTAAATCTCTTAATTTTATTATTTTTATATCATTCTTCCTCCATGTGTGCACATAGAATCACACTCAAAGCATACATTCCGAACAAACCACAAAACAATGTGATTCTAAACAATCACCTTTTCTAAGCAGACATGTGCTAGTTATCTCTCCTATTCATTCTTGAGTTTCTGAAACACTTTTTCTAGTTCTCCTATATCCTTTCATGTCATGTAATGGGGTAAATTTTCCCTCATTCATTCACAATATTGTACAATTTTCTCCAAACTCATTCCTGATTTGTTCTTTATCATCATTCGCTGGAGAATAACATAAAATTATCAAGAGGCTTCAGACTCCTACTTTCCTATGCATTCACAAGTTATATTGCAACCATTTATACTTTTGACACATTTATTCTGAAATGTATATGCCATCAGTTTTACTTATATGCCACCAATTCATGTTAAATGAAAGCACCACAGAGATGGCCAGAGTCATTAGTTGAAATGGGTGGCTATAGAAACTGAATGAATGAATGAACAAACAAACAAACAGTTCAACAACAAAACACAACTCAGATTAAATAATGTAACAGTGAGATGATTGTTACAAAAGTTGTTCAGGAATAATTTTATCTTAACTTTCTTATGGAAGGCCAGCAAGATAGGATATACTCTAACACAGGGGTCCCCAACCACCAGGCCCCGGACCGGTACCAGTCCGTGGATCATTTTGTACCAGGCCGCAAAGAATGAATAATCGTGATTAAAATATATATAAAAATATGTTTTTGCTTCCGGGTGTCTTATTTTGAAAGACAACCGCTTCCGCCCTCGCCTA